CCCAAAAAAAAAAAAAAAAAAGAGTTTTATTTTTGCCACTTTACAGGAACTTTATTTTTCTAGTTGGTTCTCTCTTAAACTCAAGTCTGAAAGTGCCTGTGTTGTGGATACCAGCTGATGAGAAGACAGGATGAAATGGTGAAGAGACTTGTTTCCCCTGGTGAATAATATATTCTTTATCAAAGGTGTCATCCCTTTGCTTTCACTGCCTCTGAGTAATCTGGGAGTGAGGCTGGCTCAGAACTCACATACTTTATGCTCCGGCCAGAGCTTGAGGCAAGTCTGCTGAGACTGCTGGCTCTGAGGCATAGAAGGGTAATGTTTGTACATTTCCTTTTGCTGAGCTGTTCTCCTGAATGAATGTGAGATGTTTTGTAATGAACATACATCCAGTTTGGAGAAATGCTGTGTTCAGGTCATGTTTTACCTTAATTGTTGGATTTCCTAGCTCGTGTCAAAAGCAGGATCCTTAGTGGCCATTTTAAATGTCCTTAATGAGAATCATAAGGCTCAGTGATAAGGTAAATGGCCAGTACCTGTTTTGAATGTGTGCTGTTTTGCTGGAAGTTTCCTTTAGAAATATCTATTACACTCCCCAAGTATCCTATTACAGCATATTCTGGTTATGTATTGAGTTAGCCTGCATTATTTACAAGTTGTGTCTAATTGATCATTCCAGACTTCTGTAAAGATCAGAGATCATTTCCAAGACATTGTCATGCTCCATATATTTCTCTAAGGGGGCAGAGACTGACCTCCTTTACAGGTGGATAGGGGTATAATTACACTTGCATCCATGAGCAGTGCTAGAGGAGCGTTGTAAGAATGAAGATGGTGTAAAGCTAAGGCTGAGCTCTGTTATGGGTGTTGCTGGATTAGATTATGCTAATACTGGGTCTTCAATTTTTGGGCAGGTAACTTTTTCTTGAACCACTGTAGCAAATGGCTGTTGTTTGCCTGACATTCATGCATGTTGTCAATTGGCCATTTCCAACAGGTTTGTATTCTAACAGGGCACCTGAACTGACTGTTCTGCCTTGAAGATTTTTTCTCAGGGTTGCAGCTTTTATCAGCAGGACATCAAAGATACACATTTTGCTTTCTTATAAGTAAAGACAAGTGAAGAGAGCTTTTTCAGCCTGTGTAAAATCCTTCTCTCATCTCTGTGGCTCTTCAAGGGCTGCGAATAAAAAGGCAAAAAAGTCATCTCAACTTTAGTACAGGCTTTTTGGTTTGGAGTATAAAATCAAGTAGATGTAACAGTTGTACAGAAGTACTTGAATAGTAAGAAACGGATGTGCAAAGTGGTGTTGTCTGTGGATAATGAAAATGAGTAAATTAATCAGTATACATTTTCTTTGATTTAAAACAGGAGTTACTGTCCTGAAGGTCATGACTGCCTGCTCGTTCCCACGTTGCCAAGTAATAAAAGAATTGAGCTTTGCTAGAAGGAAGGAAATGGAATCCTCTCTCTTCTTTCCTGTTGCTAATACTCTCAGTTAAAAGCGGTGCTGGGTTCAAGGAGTTAGAGCCATTGGAGCTAGCTGCCCAAAATGTTTTCAAAGCCATATGCCTACGTAAATGACCCCTAATAGGAGCTTTTTGCTGTAGTGTTTACACCAAATACATTTGTTTGTTGTTTTCTTTTTTTTCCCCAAAAACTTCACTAATACTATTTACTGTCAAAGGAGTATACTGATGGCATTCACTCTTACTTTAAGAAGCTGGCATTTGATGGAGTATGTCAGCCCTAAATCTAAACTGAAAATTTCCTCCTACCAATTTCCCTCAGTCTCCCTGTCAGATTGTGTTGATATTGTTCATTTTCTATAAGGACAAGGCTCAAACTTTGCATTCATCAGGAGTGGGCACCCCATCATTTGGGGTGGTCTAGAGTGCTGCAAAGGCCAGATTTTAGGTGTGTGCGTTCTCCTAATCTGGAAGAGAGAAAGAATGACATCAATTAAAATGTAATAGGTCTGATGCTATTAACTAAAAAAAAATACAGGCCTTGGAATGGGAAAGCTGTTGTGGATAATTTAACTTGCATTTTGATCTTTTCTTTACAGCCACAGGGACTTAAAACCAGAAAACCTACTGCTGGATGAAAAGAACAATATCCGGATAGCAGACTTTGGGATGGCATCGCTGCAGGTTGGGGACAGCTTGTTAGAAACCAGTTGTGGGTGAGTGTCTCAGAGCATATTGCAAATAGTCAATGACGGATTCCAGACATAAAAAATGCCAGTAGTTTGGGGTTTGAGGAAGATCTGCAGGCTTACACTGTGCATCATTATTTCCTAGCAAGTTAGTAAATTTTAAAAATTTATACAGTGCATAAAATAGCTAAAAGAAGGGTTTATTAAACTGCTTTGCAGTGAAGAGCAGGCCTTTGTAGATGTCACATATGGATATAAATATCAAGGCTTTCAGGTTTGGACTCATCTGCCTAGGCTGGCTTGTGTTTACTTTCACTGGATGTATGATATTTGGAAAATGAAAGCAGTGGTGAAACCTGTTTTAAGAATAGGCTTTAAAATATTAGGAGGTGAGAAAACAAGAGAATCTATGGCATCTCAAATGGAATTTGTGTGTTTTGTTCAAGCTGCCTGCTTGCAGCTCTTTCTGTTTATACTTCACTCTGCTTCATTTTGGCTCACATCCGGGATTGACAGGGAGGCAGCAGAGGGTCCTTTGCAATTACAGGGAGGGCATGAGCACAGATACAAAAGAGACTGCTTGGAGGAATATCACAGGGACAATAAAAACATTTCCATGTTAATTCAGTTGCCAGCAGGAGCTTTCTAGGAATTTCCAAGGGAGTCAGCAATAAGCCCAACAGCTGAGTGAAGATCTGGTGCCTAGCTGAGGACAGATGAGCATTTCAGGAGCAATACCCTCTGATCATTATCATCTCTAGGGATACCACAGGCACCATGGTCCCCCAAAGCCATGACACTGTGCCGTGTTGACTGCAGTGTGCTGCTGCAGTGAGCTGTGGCAAGGGTAGCAGCTGCATCAAGTTGCTGTAGCCTGGCACCACTATGCTGGCTTTTAGCTGTGTATCAATTTGTTACAACAGCAAGCTCAGCAGCTGGAGTTGCAGAAAGTACCAGCAGTTCTGTGTCTCCTCCCATACACACCTACTCTTCCTGACCTTTGGCATTGTAAATCTTATGACTGCAGCTCATCTCAATCCTCAGGCTGCTACAGTCCATGTTTTTTCATTCTGTACCCTGAGGCAAGAGTGGACACAGAGCCATATCAGCTCCCTTTATACTCCGTCTACTGCCTCTGAGTCCTGAGCTGCACAGCTCTGCATTCCAAGTTTTGAATAATAAATTGCAAAATTGTTTGAAGCTGATGATGTGATTGAATGGTGGTTGATGACTATACTGAGATGCACGCGTTCCTTCCTTGTCTGTGTCAAGATTTGACCTCTTACCAGCACAAATGAGAAACAAGGAGCCGTGAGTCTGCACATCTGCTGCTTGCAGCTGCCTTCAAACCTCCCCTCTAGACTAAGAAACAAAGTCTTCACTGCAGTTATCACAAACAATCTCTGCTCTTTAAAGAAAATTTTCTCCCTCTATTCTGTGTAAAACAGAACAACAGAAAGTGTAAAAACTGACTCAATCTCACATCACCCTGAAGGATTTTTCGAACTCCTTGGGAGCCTCTTGGTAGGCTCCCTGTTCATGTTAGAAGCAGTCTGTGTCATCCAGGTCTAGAGTCTCAAAGGGAGATTTCCTGTCTGTAAGTAGTGCTGGAATTCAAGCCTCCATGTTTTAAGCAGAGCCAGCCCTGCTATTGCAGCCTTAAAATGTGCTAATAAAGAAATCAATGGAACGGAAGAGACATGCCTGTAATAAACAGAACACAGCAGCAATGCTATGATCTCCTGCCTTGCAGATGTATTTTAAGTATGGTGCCAATCACTAGGCCTCCATGTGAGCTATTACACCACTTCATTAATTCTCCTGGCATGGAGCCCAGCATGGCTGGTACTGGTGTCTTGTGATCTATCTGGTTTGGGTGGTAAAAAGAGAAAGGAAAGAAGGAAGAAATATATAACAGTGTGCCACGAAGTTCACAAAGAAAGGCAATCTGGTTGTGACTCTCCATCCCTAGGAGCACACACTAACCAACCTCAGAGCTCTTCAAGGCAACAATTTTACCTCCCCCTTGTAATTGGTACTTTCAGCCAGCATGAAAAAAAACAAAACAGATCGAGTCATGGCTGAGATATGAAACTTTAATGAGATGTTCTTCCATGCACCCAGAAGTTAATTTTCAGAATGGCTTTCTCTGTGCTGTGAACGTTGATAATGAGATGAAGCTGTAACATTTCCATTGACAACCACACAAGGAGTCTCCAGGTATTTCTGTCAGTCAGAGTGGGAGGATGAGATGGAGTTTAGCAGCATGATACAACAAACTTTATCAGTACAGCAGAGCTGTTAGAGTGCAGCCTCTGTTGTCACAAGTGAACTGCTAAGTATAGTCCAAAATTTGACCAGAGAGCTTTGACTGGCCTCACAAAGCTGTTCTTGTGTTTTGTTGCATGCCTCAGAGTCAGTGTCTGATGGGAGCTACTCCTTAGATCAGCATGATTTTCTGTAGTGCTGATGGCTACCTGGAGGAAATGATAAAAAGTTCAGCCCAGTCGTGTTTGTGTAGGGGAGGGAGGTAAGGATGAGCTGGCTGTTTCTTTGACATCATTTGTCACTGCCAGACTGCATTTAGGCCTTGGTTGTAATTAATCCCCATTACTGAAAGTCTGTATAGCACAAATCCTGCATATATACATATATGCAGAAGAGTGTGCCATAGATTTAAACATGTATCTTTAGACCTTTGAGGGAAAGAGGAGCTGTGGGAATAATTCTGCTAACTGCAGAAACTGCACGATAAGGCAGTCTTGTGGAGAGAGAGTCCCTGAAATGCTAAAGTAACCCAACAGATCTTTGCATCTCTCCAGGAGCAGGGGAGTTCTGTGAGCAAACAGCAGACAACTAAGGAAGCGGAGGATGTGGCAGGATGCTGCTTCTGTTAGTTCAGATCTCTTTGGCTCTTCCTCCTCTTTACCCTTCCAAGCGGTGACATGCAGAGACAATCCCTCATCTTTTTCAATAGTGATTCTTCCCAGCACACTGCCTTGCAGTGCTTCAGAATGTTAGATACTGAGCAATCCCTCCTACTTGTCTCTAGGCAAGAAAAATGAGTTTCTTATGGTTAAATCTCTGAACCTAAATGATCTGAGCTTGATTTCTGCCTCTGCTGTGGGCATTCATGGTAGTCTTAGACAAGTCACATTACCCCTCTGTACTTCAGTTCTCAATCTTAACAAGTCATTATACTGCCCAAGTTGCTCTGAACATAATCTGAAATTATATCTATAGGAGTCTTGGAAAAGTAGGACCTTTTTTTTCTCTTTTCTTGAATGAAAAGAGCTCATGAATTGAAGAATTGACAGGAAATACTGTTGAGTTATAATTCTTGGGAGTCTGTAATGATCCTTCCTAATTCCCCATTGCTCCTTACAGAAAGCTGACAAAGTACATTTTTGCCATCTCTGCAGTTCTCTCCATTTCACTTACTGTGAAACAACACCATGTCCCTCAGGCAGGAGATTGCTGCAGGCCACCAGGTGATGGAGAGCCCCACAGCAGTGCTGCTTTCTGTGCTGCCTCTAAACCTCTCGATCGCAAACAACAACAAGCTGAGACCAAGCCAACATGTAAAGGTGGCTTTCTCCAGCACCAGACATATTCCCAAAAAGGCAGTCAGTGCAGGCTCACAGTGAACTGATTGTATATGCAGCAGTTCTCCCCTTCTCTGTTGGGAACCCCTGGAGAAATCCAGAAATCTGTGCATGTGGGAAGAACAATGTTGATTATGTCCTCTAATGTTATTGAGTGAGAAGAAAGCCACTGTGCATGTCAGTGGCAAAATGAAGGAAAAATCAACTGCCAAGCCCAGCACAGTCCATACCTCTGCTCTCAGTTCTTTCTAGCATATGCTGGCTGCACTTTGCAGACCCACCAGCTGCCCATATACATCAGAAAAAAGAAAACAAAAACAAAAACAAAAACATTTTCGTCAGTGCTGTGATTCTATGATGCTCATTAGAATTATTATCTCTTTTTGATATCTCAGGATATCTGTAACACCCAATAGAGTGTGTGTTTGTTAGAAATGCTAACAGATATCATCTAGGTCCTAATTTGCTTACCTTTTGTATTCAATCTATCTGTGATGAGATAATTCAGAAGAGATGAATGTGGTTGCTGTACACCTCAGTATCCAAGCACCATTTCTAATTTAATGTCAAGACATGATGCTGCATATATTCTTTCTCTTCTGTACAGTTCTGTATACAAATGTGTGTATGTTATCTAAAACATATGCAAATGTCCAGGTCCAGATATTGTTAGTGTTGCAAATTTAGGCTCTTAAAATTAGAAAATGCCAGAATTCATAATTTTTATCCCATCTCTCCAGGAGTTTCCATTGCACTCTGTTCCCATCTCTTTCCCTGTTCTCCACTGCACTCCAGTCTTGCCAACTTCTCCCACTCATTTCTGCTTCACATTTGGTCCCGGATTCTTTTCTCTTTTTCACTAGATTCCAACTCTGATTTCCCCTACTTGGTTTTCCCAGCTCTCAGTCCCGTATCTAATTCCTGTTATTTGTGCATTCAGCAGAGGTTCTGCATTTTAAAGTTTGGTACTTTGTGACAACCTCAGTCACAATAGCTTGTACTATCAGTTTTAAGAAAAAAAAATGATCTGTGAAGCATTGCCAATACAGGTTGAATTTTCATCTTGATTCTCTAGAGAATTTCCATTAGTAAATACAATCTTCCCTGTTTCTAGTGGTTGTGTTTGAATACATTTTTCCAGAGAATGTGAATAAGTCATCACATTTTTCTTTCACATTTAAGCATGCTAGCAATGTTCACTTTTTATGGGAAAAGCATATTTAATTTAAATAAGATTTTAATAGTGGGCACAAAGATGAAACCAGTCTGAAGCAGACAAACAGAAAAGAAAATCTCTGAGTTGTTAAATTGGTAGTAAGTGATAAGCAATTTGAAATGAGGATTATGAAGGGAAATATCAGACAGCCGTATTAATAAGTGCTAATATAAGCCTTACCTGTAATACATTTCAAGGTACATTAAAAGAGCTTTAAGTCTGCAAAATTAAGTGCTGAAAATTTAAGATATGCTACTTTTTAGATTACAAGTATAAAATTAACTTGGTCCCAAAATATTCGTTGGGACCAATGAATTGGGATAAGTTCATTAATTATGAGCTTATGCAGGTTTTTTTCCACCAAAACTTTGTCTCATTTGATATTTTTATGGTGTGAGATTTTTCGAATAAGCATCTGTTTAATTTACTCTCATCCTTTGTTTTATGGATCCATTCAAAGTTTCATCTCACCATATCCGAGTCTTGCTGTGGATGCTAGGTAGGATTTTCATCAAAGTATTTTAAGTTTACAAATATTAACTACATCAAAAATAGGGGAACCTGCAGCTTGCAATTAGCTGTGAACATCTCAGTTTAAAGCACCTTTTCATTTGCATTCACAGAAGGACTCTTTTGCAGGCACAGAGAGCTTGATTCTCCGCTATGTCAACCAGATGCCTCATCACAACGTTGTCCTTCGTAGCACCACACTTCCCTCACTTGACCACTGGCTTTCCAATTTCTGCAAAAGTAAACCAGAGGCATTGTGGACAGCAGCAGACCCACTGCCTCATGCTCACTTATCTACAGAGCACAGCATAGTCTGTTAAGGCTCTGCATTCTTTACACTCTTTTAATATTGGGATCTGTTTCAGTTTTTAAATTAAGATCTCTTAAAGGATCTATGTCTTAATAATTTGAACTCGTATATTAATTAATGAACTGATTTGCAAATTCACAGTCTATTTGTGCTTGAGGAGTAAACAGCTGTAAGATGGCTGAGGGCTAGATGCTGAGTTTTCTCATATAGTGCTAAATAGAGCTGAAGCTTTAATTGCAAAATAGCACTCAACCTTAACTACAGCTACTTCTTTAATTACAACCCTACCTGCAGTTATTGCTTTCAGTACAGCCTGAACTACCCGCTGCTCCTCAGACTGTTTCTTCAGTCCCTCCCTGCATTACTTTGCTGTGTGATCTGTGGCTGTCCCTTTCCCCACAGGATGCTCTAACATGCATCCTTCTTGTGAGGAATTCCCTTTCTCTGTTTTACTGCTCCTCTCACGTTCCCCTTCATCTCAGCCCTTTGCTGCCCAGCACAGTGTTCCACATAGGCATTCTTTTGCTCTAGTGGGTAGCTTCTGTCTCCAAAAGCCAGCTAAGAGGTAGCAGTTAACTTGGGGGGAAGCATCTGAGCAACACCAAAAACAGCCAGATACAAGAGGGTTTCAGTGCATCTCCTGTATAAAAATATCTTCAAGCAAAGAGAGAACAAGACTTCTGCATCCCTCTCTACAGAAATACTGCCTCCAGCTGTGAGGTGTAAAGAGAAGCATTTCTTCTTCCCCGAGTAGTATCTTCCTAAGGCATGGATCCAAAGTACACAAGTGTGGAGATTTATCTTTAAAGGGACCTGTCAGAAAGTGCAATACATGATTTGTCACATTATAGAGCAGGATTGTACAGTACAGCTCTCCCTCTTCTCCCTCATCAACCTTGTCTGGAAAAGCAGTTGTTGCATAAACCATACACAGGCAGTAGGTTTATCTGTGCACTGTGCAGGTCTCTCTTACCTATGTACTGAGACAGGAGGTCAGAACTGCTTGCACAAATCAGAGGCACATCACATCTGCACTGAAGATACAGCACTGGTTGTCTCAGATGTACTCTAGCTTTATTGTATCAATGTGTCAAGATCAAAAACTACTTGTCTAGTTTTTCAGACGAGATTCATGGTAGATGCATCAAAGATGCGTCTCTCTGATTGCATGACCCCTGTCTGGACTTGTAGTGGTTTTAACCGTTGCATTTTGGATTATCATCTCTGGTCGAAGTCCCATGTAAATGCTTTGCTAAGGGCCTGCAAGATCTGTTAAGATTCCTGTGTCCAAGAGTTACAGCTGTGAATGATGGTTCAGAGAGCCCTTCCTGCCCCAGGCAGACTAGCCTGGGAAAATCAGCATCACCCTTGAAATAAACACTGCCAACACTGGGGCTTTTTTGCAGCAGTACCCAGAGGCAGCAGCTGCTTCTTAATCTTGCTGAGCTGTATACTTATTTATTATCAAGGGCAAATTGTGGCTTTTGCTGCACAGAGATGTAGCTGAAAGATGAGGAGGTGGCCTAGGGGAAGAGAGAGGGAATATACTGAATATTGAATAATTATTGATAAGAGCCAAAGAAATACTCAGGACTCTATAGAAAGATAAATAGATTTTTTATTAAATTTTAGCTTTCTCTTTAAAGCAGTTGAAGATCCTTTGTGATTGGCAGCATGGAAATGAGTTTTCTACAGATTTCTGGCTGGCCAGAGGAACCTGTTTAGAGCTGTTTGCCAAGACAGTGCTGCAGATATCCTGATAGTGTGTGCTGGCAAGAATTCACAGTGGCTATGCCAGAAATCTGTGCTCTCTGGGCAGTTGCAGTGCAGCTGTTGAATGATTGAATCAATCCAACTTGTTGAAATTATTTATTGTAACATTTTCTTCACCCATTCTGTTAGATTTTAGCAGAATTTCACCAGTGTCTTGACTTTGCAGACTCCACTGCAGACTCCACACTCAACAGAGGAGTGAAATGCTTTAAGTGCATTTGCTACTGGGATTTCTAACTGGGTATCTATCCATCTTGTCGTCTAAACAATACTTATGTTCTTCTTTTCAAGGATATTTGCAAGATGGCCGTATACCTCAGCATCTGCAATTATGAATTCTGAAATCTGTCTTTGTTGGAGTTGCAAATTTTTGGGAGGTAGGAAAGCAGCAGTGGTGTTGCTCTCATTTTAGTCAGAGCAGCAGACTTATGATGAGGTTCTGGTCAACCAGTTGTGGCCAGCAGCAAATTTTAATAACTCATCTGTGACTGCCAGAGACAGAGCTGCCAAAAGAACCCAGTGGGTCTGTCCTCCCCACTGGGTTCAAGTACTTTCTTACCTGAATCCCAGAGCATCCAAAGGTGAACTCTATCCAGCTCTCCAAGGCAAGACATTTCTTGTCTTGATAGGCCTTTCAAGGTTTATAAAATCAGGTCTAAATTACTGAATGCATAAGGGTTGGTCATAATACCTGTGATAACCTCTTAAAGAAGAAGTGTTGTTAGATAGTATGCTAAGCTTTCAAGTCCTACCTTTCCCAAAGTTTGTGAGGGATCAGTTATATTCTGTTTCTCCTTGCTTAAGCTTTGTATTCAAGGTAGCTGCAGTTCTAGTTGTACTCTGAGTATATTATCACAGTCTGCCAAAAGCTGTGATAGCAAATCAGATGTGCCACGCACTCAGGATGATATTTTACCATAAGTGTAATGTGTATGGAAAGGTAATTAATGGACTGTCTCACTGGGCATTAAAGTAGCATCCTAGCACAAAGCTAACCTCACTGTGCTTCTGTTTTGCTCATTACTTTGTGAGACAGGTATTGCCCAACCATGATTGTGTTTGTCACAAGAAACAAATGCACAAATGAAGACAGGCTCAGGGACTGCTGGGAGGTGTCAGTATGAACAATAGTGAGATTTGCACACAGGTCTCAGACAGTTTGCATCCCTTTTACTTGTCAAGTTACTTTAATGAGGGCTATAAAAATAAATAGCCATGGCTATAATCTTTAGGAATTAAAATTATTACCTGGCAAGTTGAAGTAATTAACTATTCTCAGCCAAGAATCAAGGAAGAGATAGATGGGTGGAAGGATGTGAAGAGAATATATTAGCTCAAAACGTAACAGTACTGTTGTCCATCCTTTTTGTGTGGTGTTTTGCTGGTTTTTTGTTTTTGTTTTTGTTTTTTTTTAAGAAAAATAAATAGCGTGTTGAAATCATGTACTGGCAGCTTTTATGACTGCTGGAGTAAATGAGAACACTCTTAGCAGAAGAGGTGCAAGATATGGTTTGGAAATACATGCATTGGCTCTGAAAACATTTAATTTTTTTTCCCCTAAAAGACCTTGCAGTGTGTGCCTTCCTTCTAGTTATATGTATGGCCAAGTGAAAGTATAGAGTTGGAGGGCTGGAATTTTATGTAATCACAAAATATGCCTGCTCTTTCATTCCTTTTAAGAAATTCATATTAGGGCCATTGAATTTTGAATTATGCTCGTTGTTGACCATTTTGGGGTTTGTCTGAGAAATATATTCTCAATACAGTAATAAAAAGGGCTGTTTTTGCAAACTTGCTTTCTGTGTAAATGAGCCAATCCTGATTCTGGTAAGCAAAGTGGTAAAGCAAATAGTTCACAAATACATGCTCATCTCACTATTTTGTGTTACAGATCACCGCATTATGCCTGCCCTGAAGTTATCCGGGTAAGTTGATTAAAATCAATGTATGTTTTCTTTAAAGTGTCACTAATTGCATGTGTGCAGACAGACCCTCTCTACAGGAAATCTGTCCAAGACAGACAGCATGTGAAAGGAGAGAATAAACGTAACTGTGACTTTGGTTGTTTGGTTCAGCCCTGAATCAAGCCACATCAGCCATCTGAGGAAATAATCCTGTGTTGTTCTCACAATACCTTTGTGCCATGTTACCAGGCAGAAAAGCAGTAGCCTCATTTAACTTGGTCTTTTCACTCTAGACACCTATGCCTTTTCTTCCCCATTGTAGCTATTTCAGCAGAACTGGAGTTGGCTGTCAATGATACTGGTTTATTTTAAATGATAGGAACTATCCTTTCCCCCCTACTCTTTCATTTGTCTTCTTAAAATAAGTATTGAATATTACCAACGAATATTACCAGTGGCCAAGTTCCCCCCCTTTTTTTAGATGTTCTTTTTTATTATTTTATATTTTTCTGATTGTTTGGGTTGGAAGGGGTCTTAAAGATCATCAATTTCCAACTCCCTTGCCGTGGGCAGTGACATTCCCACTAGACCAGGTTGCTGAAACTCCATCCAACCTGACTTTGAACACTTCTAGGGAGGGGGCATCCACTTCTTTTCTGAGTAATCTGTTCCACTGCCTCACCACCCTTACAATAAAAAAAATATTCTTTATATCTAAGCTAAATCTACCATTATCCCTTGTTCTATAAAACTCCCTGGCAAAGTTGTTCTTCAGCTTTCTCATAAACTCCCTTTAGATACTGAAAGGCTGCAATGAGGTCTCACCTCCAGGTTGAAGAACTCTCTCAGCCTGTCTTTGTAGGAGAGGTGCTCCAGCCCTCTGTTCATCCTTCTGGCCTCCTCTGGACCTACTCTAACAGATCTGTGTCCTTCTTTGGTTGGGGACCTGAGAGCTGAATGCAAGTGGGGTCTTACAAGAAGAGCACATCACCCTTTTGAAGCATATCACTAACATAAAACCAAACACGCATACAGAAAACACTGTCCAGCCAGTACTACGAGTTCACAAATAATATGATTGATGACAAGGTCCCTGAAGAACTAGAGAGGAGAAAAACTCATTCTTGATGCCCTTAGCACACCTCTGCCTTTCAGGATCAGTACTAAAAAGTTTCCAGTCCTCAGCCATTCCTGCTGTTTCCTATTTCTGACCCTGTTCTCATAGAACCTAGATAAGTGTAAACTGCTATTCATAAAAAAAAAATCAACTAATGGGCCATGTCTTGGCCTCCTGGTTGGAAAGGCCACCTTGGGAAGCAGGTGGCGGAATCAAAATGCGTGGTTTCCCATTCTCCCCTCTCTTGTTCTTTGAGGATAATAAATTAATTTACTAGTGAGCACATTTTTGAGTCTCTGTGTCATTGCTGCATAGGGAGAAAAGTATGATGGAAGGAAAGCAGACGTCTGGAGCTGTGGAGTCATTTTATTTGCGTTGCTAGTGGTGAGTCATCTTCCTTGCTCTATCCTTAAAAAAAAAAGAAATATTCACAAATGCTGCTGTATTTAATGGTGATTCTACTGACATCATGTACAGATAGGTGTTTTTTTTTTAGTTCTCCTATTTTTGTATCTCTCAACTGCATCCTTTCCTCTAAGTCCTACATCAGTCCCAGAGGAAAAGCATGAAGAATATTTCACTGCTGTTTTGAAATGCGGCTGCCCTGCACATGAGAACATAGACAAGTGTCAAAGACTTGCCTTCATAAATATCACTTGGTGTGTTGTAATGCTGCAGCATTTTAAAGAGCCCCATTCGAAGCACACTGAATTTTTTGATCCAAATGGGTGTGCCACTCCAAACACAGAAATTGTTGCCCTTCACAGAATTAAACATCGCTGGTTTCTTCAAGTGTTTGGTTTTTTTCTGCTGTATGTATATGTACATTTCATTAGGTATATGCATACGTTAACTGCAGTCTTTTATCAAGAGAAGATTTGAGTGCAACAATTTTGTTTCATGCAAGTATTGGGCTATATTTTAATTTGGTTCACTAGAGAATACAAAACAGAGCCAATATATAGTATATTAGTATACTATACTAAGTATAGTATATACTAATTTATATTAAGAAGTATAAATTAGTTTCCATCTGGCTCACTTGGAGTACTTTTCTTAGTATTCAAAATGTAGTATCTTGTAACTTATCCTTCTTTTGATGAAAGTTTCAATTCTCTGTGGAATTTATTCTGATTTACAGCATAATGTAACATTCCCAAATATACAATAATTGGATGTCCAGCTCAAAGTGAATAGGTTTGGCATTTGTTGTCAATTCCCATAGTAAAGTGTAAGAAAATACAGATGTATGCTTATATAAGCATGATGTTACTATGTGCAGAATTAATGGTTTATATGAGAATAGATTTAATGCACATTAAGTATTTTATATTTGTAGTAGTTTAAGTGATGATCTACAATTATAAAAACAAGAAGCCTGAAGCTAAATATTGATGTCCTTTAATTTTTATTAGTATTTTCAGTTACTAATTCTTCACTTAAATGTTTTATTTTGGCAGAAGCACTTGTTCAATGAAACTAAAACTCAGTTGGAGTTAGATTCTGTTCATAATTTTGGCTTAAAATACTTATTATACTTATTATAAAGTATATTTTTTTCAAAAAAATTCACTGATAATTTTTTTAGTGGTAAGAATTCACGTATCTTGTAATATTGAGTACGATGCTTTAATTCTCCTTAACCAGTTTTATTATTTTTAGTAATTATAGGTCATTGACAGTTTTAAATTTTAGATATTTTTTATCTTGATGCTGCACGGGAAGAGTTTTACCTATCTCACCAAGTATCACCTGGAATCTCTTGCTCCTAACCAACTATTTGAGTGGGTGATAACGTAGTTATAGAATGAGCTCCTGCTGTGACATGTTGAGTTTGTAAGAAAAGGCAAGAGAGGTTGGCAAGGTGATTGGGAAATGTAGGAGTGGACTCTTGTTTGAAGATGGCTTCTATGTCAAGATTTGGTGTCCCCCTGTTACTGGGAAGCATCTTCATCTGTTTCTACATATATACACAAGCCTGCAAAATGACTGAAATGGGTCTATTATTGACAGAGAGTGCAGAGCTGTCCAGCTAATTATGTCAGGAAAAACCCTGCAAAAAGTCTCAAGCTGTAATAACAGGTGGTGGTAATAAAAGATCTGTAGTTGTTACCTTCAGGAAATGCCACAAAGCAGCCTTGCTGACTTCATTGTGGATTAAATTGTGTTAGCCAAAGTACTGAACTATCGGAATTGATTTTCCCATAAGTCTGGAACCGTAAGGGAAAAAGTAGGTAACTCGAGAGGTTGGTTGTGAAAGACAAGGAGGCTCTTCCTTCATGGCTGCTTGAATGAACAACAGTAAATAGTATCCAGTAGTTGTTGCCATCAGGTAGATTTTCCAAGGCTTCTGTAAATTAAGCTGTTGGTCTCAGCAAACTGTGGACACAGGCCTGCTTATACAGATGCAGTACTCACTGAAGTAAGAACAGTGCCAGCACTAACAACTGAAAGCTTCATTATCACAGCAGCTGACAGCTTGCAACTTCCCACAACCTTTCCTGGAAGCCAAGGAAGCTCACCACATAGTGAAAGAGAGGAGTGAGAATATCAAGGAAGGTGCATACTTGCTATAAAAGTGGAGTTATCCTAAAGATTTCCACTCTCTTCCTTTTTGTCCTTGCAGCAAGGATAGGCTTTTTGCTGCTTTCTGTGGCCAGCTGATGATCTATTCAAAGTGAAATTTGAGCTTAAAAAAGCTCAGGCTATTCATGTAAGTGAGCTGCAGTAGAGAAGCAGTGGGGGCTGATGACCTGACTGCAGCTTGGGAACTGGATGGAGTACGTTAACCAGGTAGAACGTCTGCTGCTTCCAAAGGGCTGATGTTGGTTAGGGTTTTTTTCAGATGTGTCAATCCACTGCTCCATCAGAAAGAGGATGTTCTTTACTGAAAGTCTCTCAAATGCTGTTCACCTCTTTTCCAATGTCTGCAATAAATGTGTCTCAGGAAGATTAAAAGTAAGGAAAGGATAAACATTGCTGCAGTGAAAGTATGCCCAGGAGGAACACCAGCAGATCAAAAGCTTGAGCTGAATTTAACTGAATACATGCATCTTTGCTGAATTTGCCTGGAAAGGCAATTTCATATTATGTATTATGCTTTATACTGGTAGTCATTTTCTAATTAAAGGTTTAATAAAAGAAAAAAAAAGCTGGAATATCCTCTGCTTTTTCCCTATGTTGGAGAAAACACAGCAGCTAAGAAATTATTTATTTTCAGTGAATGACAAGATTGTTTCACTTATTATAATACTTCATTATGAGCTGACATTCTCTTTTCCTTTCTCTCGTTGTGTTTATCCTGGCTTTTCTCCTTTTGCTCTCCAACTCCCTTTCCCTGCTCTCTCCCATCCACAAATCCGTCACATCCCCACAGGGTGCCCTGCCATTTGATGACGACAACTTGCGGCAGCTGTTGGAGAAGGTGAAACGTGGAGTGTTCCACATGCCACATTTTATCCCTCCGGACTGTCAGAACCTCTTGCGGGGGATGATTGAAGTGGATGCCTCGAAACGTCTCACGGTAAGGAAGCATTTGCTGTAAGTCATGTGATGAAGGCTTTGTTTGTCACCTCATTGCAGTTACAGTTGACTAACTAAGGTAACTTGGTTTACTGCCATTCCTGTGCATTTCCTCCTGAGCAAAGTATGAGTGAAGCTGGTGGAATTTTGGAAAGAGGTTGGTCACCTTCCCTTTTAAATGATGGGGCCAGATTACCTTTGTGTTGCTTCTCTATCTTCATAATTCTTCCTCGTATGCTGCAGTGGGTATTTAGAATGACTCTTTCATAATGTAATCACAGTGCTACTGACCCATTAGCACATTTTGGAATCTGCCTTGGCAGTCTGGCTCTCCTGGTGGTTGTGCCAGTTTATCAGGGACATGATGTAATTGTTTGAAGGTCAAAACAATTTGGACTGTTCTTTGAAGCTTTGCTATTAAACACAGTACACTCTCTTTACGTTTCTGACAAAAGTGTGACTTCTCACTTCAAGCCACATGGCTACATTGTATTCTGTCCTATGTGTGCTCTGCATTATGCTCTAGAAGCCTTCAGAGCAGATGCTTTCTAGTTTGCTGTTTCGTGTTGTGCCTTGTGGTCCTGCGCATGATTAGGCCTGCAGTGCTGAGCTCCAGGCTGCATTTGCACTGATGCACTACATCTTTGTAGCTAAGCTATAGCCCATCACTGTGACAGAGAGCCTGCATGGATGAGCACTGTGTAGTGATTGTATCCTTCATTAACGCTGTGTTAATGTTTGAGGGAATTAAAAAAAATCAGCAGTTAAAATCATTTTGGAAAGCAAGCTTGCCTGCTTGTCACTGGAAGCTTCAGCCTTTATGGATACATTGCCCTTGTAAATCCTATTGTCAGGCTCTGGTGATGATTTTATACAGATCTACTAAGCTCACAGATTCTGAGTGGGAGTATGTATAAAGAAATGTAAATTTAAAACTCCTCCTGGTTCTTCAGTCTGCTAAAATATTTATAAATAAACTCACAGATCAGTGCTTGGCCTCTCTGTTGAGATTGCTAACAACAGCATCAGTCTTCACCAGCTGTGATGGTGCTTTTGGGATGCAGACACCTGTCTGCTAAAAAGTGAACTTAAACTCCCTTCACAACTCTCTTCACAGTATTACCTGGCAGCTGCAGCCAGGTTTTTGTTTTGTTCATTACAAAACGAGGTCATATTCTGTTTGGTGATGTAGATGAGAAGTTCTTCATGGTATTACTGGTATGCTTATCTTTTGCAAACCAAGTAGCTGTGACATTGCAGTGAAGGAGTAGCACTGATATAAAACCAAATATATATATTAGGCACTTTAAAAGTCCCTTTTCGTTAGATTTTTAACAAAAGAATGAAAACAATTATTTTTTCCAAGTATTTTCATAGACAGAATGCTACAGAGGCAAGTGCTGTATCCTAAGACCTGAGGGCTGTTCTCTTTGACCAAGTCACTAAGCCACTCTCTGTCTGTTTCTTTTCCATAATGTAAATTTAACAGTATGCCCTACCTCACAAACTGGATGGAACAAGGCAGCAAGGCAGCAGAGGGTAGGGACCACAGTGGGTGGATAGATTAGACCTTGAATGAGGAGTGTGCTGCCTGTTGCCTCCCAGATACATAGACTACTGCTCTTGCTCAGGAAACCAGCACAATACAGAACAGATGAAATGTTCTTATTTTTCTCTCAAAGATCTTAGTGCAGATGGCTTGAGTATGCCAATGAGCACAGATCATCAGACATCAGATCTTCTTCAAAATGTTAGGATTTAATTTTGCCAGAGAACACTCCGATTTCTTAATACTGCCTGAAGATTTAAAGTTGTGTGCTACAGCAGAGACTGTACATGCACAAGAGTGAAAAACATTATGGTAAATCAAGGACCCATAGTGATCCCCCCCATTTTCTTGATCAGAAAGAAGCTCTTATTTCCTTAGGAAGGAAAAAAAAAAAAAAAAAAAGGATCAACTTGTTATTGAAAAGTACTCAACAGTGGATTGTGACAAAGAATTTGAAGTAAAATGCATCTGAGAGCTGAGAGCTGAGAGGAAAAGGAAAGGCTCTTTGTTACTAGCTGCAATCTTATTTTCATTATTGTAGGGTCTCTTGGTTTGCTGTCCCTGCTGCTGTCACACTTCCCTTTCTATGCTGTTAGTGTTCTGGTTACTTAAAGCGCCAGGCAGAATGGAGCTCTTTGTTTACTGCACAGGATCTAGGAATATGTAATTCATTTCAAGGAGAGATCTGAATTCTATTTTAGCTGTGTCCTGCAAAAAAAAAGAGGATATAAGTATGGGTTTATTTGGAAGCCTCTATTCCTAAAAAATTTTTTACTTGAATCAATTTGATATTTATATAAAAAATGTGAGCAAAATTGTGGCTTGCGTACAATAAGGGCCGATGTACTGATCATTTGTTCAGTATCTTACTGGTGAATTCCGCAGAAAAATGTAGTGATTATAAGGTCACTAGGATTTTTCTTCTTCTATTTTTCACTTCCCTACTCTGCTTTGTTTCTTTTTTTCATGTGTATCTTTTTTTCCTGTTCATCCAACTGCATTTCCCCCACTGCAGTAATTGCCATTTCACAGTACACCCACACCTTCCCCAGTCCATCTGTTAAAATGATCAACGAAAACAGAACTAACTTTCATGTTCAACTGTCATCGTTCGGCTTCGGCGTTACAGCTTGAGACAATTAATGGAGGGGAGGGCACTCAGAAGTATTGTTGCTGGCCCTTTCCTGCCTTAGGAAGTTGGCATTACATTTTGTTGTATATAATCCATTTATAGAAAGAGGACTTCATTTTGTTGTATATAATTCATTTATAGAAAGAGGACTTCATTATATCTTAGTGGAATAAAGTTCACACTCACCGTGTATTACATAGTCTGAAGGATGGATAGTCAAATGTGCCTGCCTGCTGCTCTTTACTAGGCTTGTTCAGCTAAGCATGCTTTAGGTAAAAGAACCCATGTTTTTCTTTCAGTAGAAGGAGCCCCTGACTGCTGGGTGTGGTGTTCCTGACTGCCCATGCTCAGTAAAGATTAAATCAAACAGGCAGTACTGCAGAGGATGAATGCTGAGGCGGTGGGAATTGGAGTGAGCTTCTCTGAATAGCACAGACTAAAAAAACTTGACTTAGTCTACCTACATGATGTCTGAGAGAGAACGTCCCAGTCATCCACATAGGCGCTGGAGGTAATTACCAGGGAGAGAAGGTTTAAACTGAAGGAAGATACTGGCACAAAAACAAATGTATGTCAGCTAGCCTTACATGAAACTAGACTGGAAATGAGAAGAAGCATTCTAGCCCTGTCAATGGGATACGGGAACAGCTTTCCATCAGAAGTAGTGTCAGGAGGGAAAAGTGAACTAGTTTTAGGTTTAGTAAGGCTTATGGAAGACAGTGAGAGCTCTCGGTGCTTGCAGTACTGCAGGATATGATTCCTTTCAATTATGTACACTTTGAAAAGTGAATGTGTTTTCCTTGGAGGATTCCAATGACTCAGCATCTCTGCAGTGGAGAATTACAGTTCCTGTGGTAGAATCCATTTGCAAACCGTCTGCCGCTTTCTTCCACAGAAACAGAAAGGCAAAGAGGAGAAGGAAGGAGCTTTGGTCCACTTTCCTGTTAAAGAAGAGTGAGCGTTGTCAAAAGTGTGTATGTATGACAAGTAGGGTCAGAGCAGATCAGTTATTGCAGAACTATGGATTGTGATAAAGCTGCTATTGTTCCCAGTGCTGACATTTTACTTGAGAATAAAATGACTTGTGTTGGATGTCCACATAGATGTTAAGGCTGAAATATTAGTCAAGTTAAATTACCCAAATTTTCAGTCTCCTCTCTGCTGTTCTTTTTTTTTTTTTTTCCCTTTCTTTTCCTGGAGTCTAGTGTATGCTATAATGATATTATCTTTAATGATTTTTAACCTGTAAAGCACGATAGAAAAAACAATGGAGGGAAAAATGATCCTGATTCCTTCATTTTTTCTGGGTCTTTTGGTAAGGTACCTATCACATCATTCAAACTGTCTTACTTCACCACCTGTGGAGTGGAGGCAGTTGATGTACATAGGCTGTAAGCTTTTGGTTACCACAGGCCTATTCTTACCGTGTGCACTTAGCACAGCAATACCTTGCTCTTGTTGAGGTCCCTGAAGGCTGCTATAGTATGACTGCTGCTACTGATGGAGGTGATGGTTCTCCTGCTGTTGGTGCTATTAGCTTGAATGCTTTGGTCAGGAAAAGCCTGTATCTTGACATTATATAGTAGGTTTAAAGCTCAGACTAGAGAATCTTCTAACTGAAGAATTATTATCTGAGATGTAGGTTGAGTTAGTGCATGGATGGGTTTGAAACTGTTTGTTTTCTGGACAGGGAAGTTTGAAACCTGACATGAGTTCAAGCTCAGAAGCTCTCATCCTTATCTTTGGACTTTGAGAAAGTTTTTCTGCAGGTCAGAACTTTTCAGCTTGGCAACCAGTATGCTGAGATCAGTGCTGAGGATGTAGACAGCACTGTCTTGTTTTCCATCTGCCTGTCTGTCTCCATCTGTTGTTCCCTGTCTTAGTATTTAGACGTAAGCTCCTTGGGGGAGGAGACCTCCTTTTCTGATGAGCATGTACAGTTTTTCATCAAACTAGATTTATGAGTATGGGTCCTCAATGCTACTTCAGTAATCAAGGTTAATATGTATGGGAAGTATTTTTGTGTAAAACCATTGTGAAGGAGTTCCCCGTCTCCTTCTATCACAGCATTTTAGCTTGCAGAATCTCTCCTCTGATTGTGCATGTGCAATGGAGCTAAACATGTTTTGTTGTTGCAGAGATGGCATCATGAGGCAATTGCCTGCGGTGGCTAGGGGATGTTAGGAAGCAGCATTTTAACAACTTCCATAAAATGGCATTAAATTTGGCAAACTCATGTACAAACAGCAAGAAGAACCCTCTGGGAAGGGCTGTTAAATGCCTTCGTCACTTACATGCATTTAAACATTGTGTTTAAATGAAGGCAGGAGGAGTAAGATTAGCTCCCACTGTGTATCTCCCTCCCCTGCATTGCATAGTAAAAAGCATACAGACTTCTCCTTGTCAAAACCAATCGCCCTCCCATAACCCTCCTGTCACTTTAATGCAGATGAAAAGCAACAAAGCATTAATTAATTACCTTTAAAAAAGCAGTGAAGATGTTAGCAGCAGCAAGTACGCACTTGTAATAACATTTCAATGCAATTACATTTGAATCAGAATAGAAATTGGTTTTGTGGAGTACCGTTCATATCTGGGGTATCCCTGAGTACTTCACAGCAATGATTTTGATGTGGATGGAACTGCAGATTTGTAGGTAAACAGCAGCCATTGTGTTCTCACACGAGAGCTCTCATACACCTTCAAATAAACGTATATCAAAGTGCTAGGGGGATTCTGTTTTAGAAAATTGCTGTGGGATCATTAGCTTGGAGGAGGTTGATCAGCAGGAATGAGCAGAAGGGATTTCTCTTTGACATCTCCTCTGAAAGAGCCCAGGGGGTCTGTGACTAACACAGGAACTGGTGGCCCTTCTTTTTCCCTCTCTCTGACTTACAAAATGAAGTGCTGTTTTTCTGCATATTGCAGTCAAAAAGAAAAATGTGACCCACAGAGACAGAAAATGCAGCAGAAGAAGCAAGCATGAAAGAGACTTGGACATCGCTTAGCTGTATCATCTGCATCTTGTCTGAAATCATTAACATCTCTAACCCTCCATGAGGTGTATAGGAAATAAGGAGCAGAGATGCATCTCTCTCTCTTTTCAGTGGTATCCAATGCCAGGACAAGAGACAGGGGACACAAACTGATACACAGGAGGTTCCCTCTGACCATCAGGCAGCACTTCTGTGCTGCATGGGTGCCGGAGCACAGGCACAGATTTCCCAGAGAGGCTGTGAGGGGGTGTCCTCCTTGGATGCTGTATGGACATAGGCAGCTGGCTCTGGGCATTTCTGCTGGAGCAGGGGCTGGGTCAGAGGGACCCAGAGGGCCTGGGATTCTGTGGTCTTACAGAGTGGCTCTACAAAGCGAAAGAGGTTCACTCCTTAATGGATTCTTGCTGTAGTAAGCACCTGATAACTAACCATTTTAAAATCCTACCCTGTGAAAGGCATACAGAATAGTCTCTTCTCATTTGGTTGTGCCTCAGCTTGCAAAAACCAAGAGGAAGAAGAGTGCATCTCTAGGTTGACAGGAGAACATGCATGGATACATATGTACGTTATCTTCTTGAATTAAGCCACTTAGGGGAAATGACAGTGTGTCTTGAATACTCTGCCCTTCTTTCAGTAGTGCAGGGGTGAAAAGACTTCTTAATAGAGGAGACTGTGATGAAGGGAGTTCCCTTTGTCAGAGGCCTGCAGTCCGGGGTTCTGTGTCGTATACTGCAACACCAGAACGAGCAGTAATAATAAGAAAAAAGACAGATGTGGCCCCATGTTCTCTTCTAGTCCAAGAGTTCCCCTGTCTAGTACCAGAGTTCCCCTGTCTGGAAACCACATGATGTCAGGACACACAGGTCTCACCTTCTGTCAAGCTTTCCTAGTTTGTATTCCCTTTTTCTTTGTTTTCGATATGAGTCCTGTCTCACTTAAAAAATGATCTAATATAAAGCAGACATGAGATCTTCTGGGTCTCCCAGGCAAGGAGCTGTTGTTCCATAGTACAGAGGCCTCTGATTCCCTCCTCTCTGCAATGAACGCTTACTTTCTATCAGTGAGATTTTGTTGTTTGTCTATTCCTCTATTGTTGTTGTTTTTTTTTCCCTTTTGCTCCCTGATTCTCATTCTGGAATTGGAGTAGAAAGTAATAGCAGGACAGCTGTCTCCGTTCTTTCGGACCGGTTTAATGGGCCTGTGGTTTCATCTTATAGCTTGAATTTCCTTCCAGCTCTCCATTGCCTCTCACTCGCATGTTGCACAAACAGAAGCCTGTTAGCAGTGAGTGTGCACATTGCTCTGCGTGTACAAAGGTTTTTCATAAAGGGAAAGCAAGAAATATTGTCCTCACAATGAATAATCTCTGGCTATTGATAAAAATTGTTTTTCTGTTGTGACAGTGCTTCAGAGAATAACTAGGTTAGGAAGATTCTGCTGTTCTGCTGTAATCTGAACAGTTTGGGATTTCTCTTGGGAAAAGCTGTTTCCCTGTCTTTGTGAAATATGTGGTCATCATGTAGCACGTTTGTTGGTGTCTGCTTTACATAGATGGACAAAGCCACTGCTTTGGTCAGTCCTTCACTTCATGATAAAATGCTTGTGTGTGAAGCAGAAAAGAGGGAAGCAAAAGAAATTTGAACCTAAACTCAAGATGTTGGAATTATAAATAGTATTTTTCAACATGAAACCTTATTCCAGTGGGTCTTTAGGTTTTTTAATGGTAAATGTGAAGCCTAGCAAGCACATGGCAGAACATGTCACAGGTACAGACTTTGTTTTGTTCACGCATAATACCTATTTCAGTTTTTATTTCCTTCTCTTGCTGTTTCTGAAACAAAACTGGGAAAGAACTTTTAGTGTAAACAGTCAGGCATTATGCACATACTGGAGGGAGCAGTTTATTATCTTCAGTGGGATTGTAGAATGGAAGGAAGTAGGAAGGGAAAAACAAAGAGCCAAAACACTTGCCTGTGAAGCGTTGTACTTATGTGTTTTCTTGGGATTTGCTCCTGCCTTGTTCCCTTTTCCAGAGTTATGGTCTCATGTACACTGGGGTGGGGTGAGGATGAGTGTGATCTTTATGCAGTGAGAAGTTCCTCTCATTTGCATAGGTCCAGCTCTGGAATGGTAGAGTTGGTCCTAACTAGAGACAAGTCTTGAGTGGGGATGTCTTATGGAGTTTCCTCTTACATTTTGCAGAGCTAATTTCTTGTTTTCTTTTCTTTGCAGCTAGAACATATTCAGAAACACATATGGTATATGTAAGTAACGTTTTAAATTCGCTTTTGCATGCAATCAGTTTTGATCACTTTATGAAAGCTGATATGCTAGGGATGTTTGAAGAGAGAACAATGGAGTTTGAGAGCAGATTTCACACAAGTGGAGAAAGAGGAAGAGAACAGGCAGAATGTGTTTTTTTACCCTTTGCTACTAGCGTATTTACATCTGTGTAGCTTCAAGCTAGTAATTTTGTTTACAGTGACTAACAATTGTCTGAAATGAGTTGTTCAGTCCAGCAGCTTGCTGTTTTAAAAATATGCCTAAAAGTGACTGTGATTTTTTAAAAAATAACAGTCATATTTGGTTTGCTCTTCAAGTGATACAGAGAATCCCTTGTAAAACCTTCTTGACAAGAAAGCTTTCACTTGTTCCTTCTTGGCATCTTGGTTTTTCTCTGAAGTAGAAACAAAAATGATTATATTGATAAGTAAGCACCTGTGAACAAGAGACTGTCTGTCTCAAAAACCCTGCTCCTTCTTCACAGCAAGCTAAGAGGCTGCTTGTGACCTTGTAACCTGTTGATGTGAGAGTAGCTCTGTGACTTGATTAAAAGCAGCAGTCTTGACAGTGAAGCAGGAGGTCTGTGAGAAAAGAATGCACCTGTCGAGTGGTTTGGGTATAAGGAAGATTGATGGCTTTTAGAAGTGACCTTGCACTCTTGTGTATCCCTTACAGTATTTCAATAAACCTAAGTAAATAACATTTTTTGTTTATACTCATGATAACTTAATTAACCTGAGGATATAAGGAAATGATACTTTAATACATGCTTCTGGGTGTCAGCATACCTACACTTTCCCTGGGTGGGTTATAAGGAGAGTCCTACCTTCATAATCCTCCTCTCACTGCTCTTGGGAAATATTTGAGGATGATATGAACTGATATTTAAGCCTGTCACTGGGAAAAAGAAACACCTTTGTTTTGATTTGTTTTATTTTCTCTAAATCTATCTTATGGGCAGTGTTCAATTGCTGGCTTCACTGACTTCAATAGGACCCAAGGGCATTCAGCAGTTTGTAGAATAACATGTTTTGTTCTTAGTTCACCTGAAATGGTTGTAGTACTCTGCCTGTGGCTTTTTCACATTCTCTGCAGTTCCCAGGTAACATGGCACCTTCCAAAACCAGAGAAGAACTTGAGTCTTGTTTGCTGCAAGTTTTTTTTTTTGTTGTTTAGTTCTTGTGGATAAGTGTAGGAGAATTGGAGGGGATCTCTCTAATTGTGAGTCTGAATTAGCTCTCCTATAATGTCTGACAAGAAATTCCAGAAATAAAATCTGTTTATACCAGGCTAGACAGTTGGTCCTCTTTGTTTCTTCATGAAATAAAATCAGCTGACTTCAGTTTCTCTGTGTCTTGATTGAAAGTGGACTAGGAAATAAAATTAAATATAATTGATTACTTTTATTATTACTCTAACCATCCTTGAGATTTTTACCTTCAGGTTTTTCCCAATCAAAATATAGTATTCTCAGGCTCACATGCACAATTAGGCAGATATTTTTTATTGCAGACATAAATATTTTCATGTGTTTCTTGATGGAAATGGCATCTAATGCTGTTCTCATAAATACAAACTGGGTTTTGCACAAGCTGCTTCGCCCTGCACTCCCAGTACAGTCAATGAAGAGAGAGAAAGGCTCCTTCAGAAGAGTGTTCAGATTGCCTAAAGCAGAGTTTCTGCTCAAAATAGCTTTTAAAATGAGTCTCTCATTTTCTCTCTACTGGCCATGGACTGACCTAAGGAAGTTAACCTTCTTTGGCTAAATTTAGTCTGTGAATAACCCTAGAACCTTCAAAACTCCACTACTTTCATCTGATAATGTTTCACAGCCTCTTTGTATTCATTTTGCCTGGAAATATTGATGCTGGCAGAGAAGGAGTGGTTAAAGTGTTTGTCGCTGTGGCTGTTTTGCTCGTATCTTTTATTTTTTCTTTATTTCATTTATAACTACTGTCCTATGTAAAGTCTTTACTCGTTGTCATATATAAGCTACTGACCTGGAGGTCGTACTCAGAACATGATAAGTCATAACATTTGATTCTTCAAATAAATATTCAGGATTTTGTGAAACTGTGGAAAAAATTAATTGCAATATCAGCAGACAGAAAGGTCTTGAAAGTTGAAGTAATGATTCACAAGCCTAAAAAAAAAAGGAGAAACCAAAGAGAAACCTTTCATCACCGACCTCCACTTCTTCTTGTTCTCTCACCCAAATTAATTCAGTGAAGCTTTTAAAGCATTTTTTAATTGAAATCATTTATTTTTACCTCAATTGCAGGTTATCATAAATCAGCAAAAAAACAGCAGCTGTTTTTACTTCTTTTTGTTTTAAATAAAACAAGAAGGCAAATAAATTAGCTGTTACAGTAAATACATACTTCTGTAACACTGACTTATTGCCCTAATTGTGAAGATACCAAATTTACAAAAATCAGAAGAACAATGATACCAGTGCTGCTTTACTTTGCTCTAATGTAAATGTGCATTTCAGTGAGATTCATGAGAGAATTTCATGGACAGACTGAAAAAGTCTACCCTATTCTGGAATCACATCCATTGTATGCACCATTCCTCACAAAAGAGGCAGGATTTTAAAGCAGCAATTACATTCATGCAAGACTTTAAAAAATAGACGTGATTTGCAGTATTCATCGGTTGACATTGTTTGATGTCTATGTGGGTTGAAATGCAACAAATTTGTCACTCTCTACCAGACTGAGAATGGAACAGGCAATACAGGCATGCCAATCACAGCACAGACCTGGTGATTTTCATTTCCTGAAGCACTGAATGCATTGCCAAATGACGAGGGAACTCCTTGCAGACTTTTCTTGTCCCTGATGAGTAGGTGTGAATATTCCTGCCTGTGTCTGAGGCTGACCAGGTGCCGGGCATAAGGAAAAGCCACTTTTCATTGCATAGAAGATAACAAGTTGTGCTCTCCAGAAATGGCACCCAAGCTGATGGATATAAAAGATGATTGCAGGTGATACTTGCTAAAGACTAAGACAACTAGTAGGAAATCTGGATTTTCTGTGAATTTTCAAAAGCTGTAATTTCTTTTTAGTATCTCAAGTTACCTCAAAAACCTCTGCTTTTAATGTAATAAATGATTAATGAAATCAGTTCCTTCTAAAAATGATCTCCATATCATTAGAAAACAAAACCACTCAGCTGCTGTCCAAAGGTATGTCCTGTAAGAATTTATCTTAATGACAAGGTCATCACTGGCTTTAGTTGTGCAAAGCTATGATCTAGTCTTTGCTTTTTACCTGCTGAGAGTTAAATCCTGGCACACTCTGAGTAATAACCAGCTGTCAGAGTAGTTACCTCCTGAAGACAGGGCACTCACAGAGTAAGACATTTCTTTGGTTGGACAAGTTTTCACAATTTAGCTCTTAGATTTCAGGACAATGTCATCATTTCTCAAGATGTAGAGACTTCTTTGAGACTTCATGGAGGCATCAGAAGCTGTATTTTAGGGGCTGAGACCTTGAGCTTTTACGAATGATATTTCTTTACTTCCTTTCTGACCTACTCAAGAAAAATTAGGGTTACGTTTAAATTGGAGCTGCTTTTCTTCTGAAGGTACCTGGAGGGCTTGCTTCTGAGCCTAGAGCACTTTAAGCCTTGTGAGTAAGTTCAGAATTTATGCTCACCTTGTTTCTGCCAATATTAAAAGGAAGTCTTTTGTCCAAATTGCCATTTGATGCAGTCTAGCTATTCCCAATTTCTGTTGTCCACTCTGGGAGCTTGGACCCAATTGTCACATATTCACACCATGTAATAAAAAGGACCTCACCCAAAGAATATGTAAGCCTCAACATCACACAGAACATCACACCAAACTCAAGTATTTAGGTGGATGGAGTTGACATAAGTTGCTCCTTGCCCAGCTAAACAAAAGCAGCGGATGGTCAGGGTGCCTAAAATATATATTATTCAGTCTGTTAGAGATATCCTGACATCTTGACCTGTTTCTTGAAGCCAGAGCTTTTAATTGCAATGAATAATCAATATTTCCTGAGTCTGGTGAATGCAATGAGAGGATTATGAAGGAAGCCTGTGTTAACTACTTTTAGAAGAGTAATATGCTCTGCCACTAATGGTGTGTTCTTAGCTTTTCCACTGACCTCAGGCATCACACTTGGGCCAGAATTTTTTTGAAGAGAAACAGAGGTTGTCATGTTTACATATTTTTTACATACAGGCATGTAAATAAAAAGCATGGTTTTGCCCCAAATCCTTTGAAGTCTGTCAAATGGGAACCTTGATAGTGAGATCACTTAAGCCACATTGGATGTTTCCAAGTATGAAATGGCTGCAATGCCTGTTGTAATCAGAACTGGTGAAATGAGGGTTTGTTCACAGCTTGTTCCTTGAAAGGGAATCGTTCAGCTTGTACTTTCCATCCTGATAGCCTGAGGTCTGGCTGATGAGACAGCATCTCTAAAATCATGTAGTGTTTTATAAATGTTTGGCATTAGGATGCTGAACAGCTGCTTAAATTATGAGGGCACTGGTAAGTGAGGTTCCTACTGCCTTTCTGACTGAATGCAGGCATTTCTCACAAAAAGACCAAAATCCACAAGGTGCTGATCACTCTCAGCCTTCACGGCAGTTTCTCCTGAAGAGAGTGTCTGTCTGGTTGTGAGATCTGGTCTCTCAGTGGGGATTGAACAAGCTATTTCCATCTGTTGCTGCAGGCTGTATTTCAGAGTACAGGTTCATTTGTAACTCATGTTTCTTTTCTCTTCTTCTTTCCCTACCCTATTTCTCTCTCTTATCTTCTTCTCTCTGCAGAGGGGGTAAGAATGAGCCAGAACCAGAGCAACCAATCCCTCGAAAGGTGCAGATTCGTTCTCTCCCTTCCTTGGAGGATATTGATCCAGACGTGTTAGATAGCATGCACTCGTTAGGCTGCTTCCGTGACCGAAATAAACTCTTACAGGACTTGTTGTCAGAAGAGTAAGCACTTGCTCAGACTTACTATCAGTTGGGTCTCCATGGGTTGGGATGCTTACTGTCCTGGGGAAAGGTGGAGATGGCCTTGATATGTCTGTGGGTGTGAGGGACCTGTATCAATGCCTCACCCTCTGACTGCCCAGCGGCCAGTGAAGTGCCAGGAGAAAGCAAGAAGTCAACGGGCCTTTCTTAGCACTGTGTGTCAGTGGAGATGTGTTGCTGTCTCTTCTCTTGCTGCCAGATGTGGTCATTTCATGAAAAGGTGGGCCATGCAGTCTGAATGGAGAGGTATCGGTGCTGCTGTTCATGTTGAATATGCCTTTGTTGGCAAATTGTTACTTATTTCAAGCTATGCCCAAGTGTTGGTGTGTTTCCTGGTGTGCTATGAGGTATATAGTGGAAAGACTCTTAAGGGCTCGGGAGACCTGTCTTATCGTTCTTGATTTGGATTTTGTGTGGATACATTACCTCATCTGTCCTGTGCCTCTATTCTAGATGTGTAATGGGGGAACTGTATTTCCTTCTCTCACAAGTTGCTTGTTGGAGACAGCAAGGCTCTCAAAAGCTTTGTGAATTGTGCACCTCGCTAGCTGATACATGGCTATTTCCAGCTTATTTAGAATAACTGTAACTGTTTGAAAGGAAGGGTTTGTTTACATATTGTTTTTTTCTCCTTCAAATTTAAAGATTTTTTTCCTTTTTTTTTTTTTTCCAGAGAAAACCAAGAGAAAATGATTTATTTTCTTCTGCTTGATCGGAAGGAGAGATATCCTAGTCATGAAGATGAGGATCTTCCCCCTAGAAATGAAATAGGTACCAAAGAAATGATCTCTGTCACCGTGAACCCATCTCAACTAGTTCTTTTTTTTTCATATCCTCAAACCTGAAACAGTTTACATCATTGGTGAGAATATGTGGCCAAAGGCGGGCAGATGTGTTTTGTAATTAAACTCAAAGGCTTCATTTTTCAGGACGTATCTATCACAGCACAGAAACATCCACATTGGTCTTGAGCCAGAAGCCTTAAAGAATTTAATGCAGACCCACAAGCTACCTTTATGAAATTAGATGAGGTTTAGGAGCAATGTAGTCTAGTGGTAGAATTTTCTAATTACTAATCTATGTGCACTGTTGCAGAGATGCTGCTTCTGGCCTTGTGTTATTAAGACTGTACCATTCGTTATATTTCTATGAAGTTTTACGTGTACACATCCTCCATTGGAAGAATGAATAATATCACTTACCTGTTTATAGTACATACATTATAATACTATGTTTTTAGATTATCTTAAAAGGATTTTAAAAGTTTAATACGCAGTAAGATTATATATATCTTATAAAGCTCCTGTGATACCATTTTATTCCTGAATTGTTCTTTGTTAGTATTTTAAAATACTGCTGATCACCAAGGACTACATTAATATAGATAGACAACTGGAAAAATGCTCCCCTAAGGAGCTAACAGTGTAAGTGACTCGTGCTGTGCATACTGACAGAAGTTTAACTAATAAAGCATTAGTCACGTCTATCAATGGCCCGAAATAGCATTTTTATGTAGTAGAGTTGTGATTTGTAGGTCTTGTATTTCACTCATTTGAAGGCTAGTGGCAAAATGCTCTTTAACTGGAAAGCCTGTTATCTCCCAAGCCTACAGGACAGTGATATATTAAAATATAAGTTTGTTAATACTCAACTGAATTATTACATTATCAAAGTTCCAGGCTACTGGACCTGTAATTTTACAGAGAGATCTCATCTGAAGGGGATAAAATGGAAATTCTGAGTCAGCCTGGTAGTTTTTTAAACTCTTATCTGGATGGAGCTGCACAGAGCATGTCAGCAAGCATCTTGGCAAAGAGGGGTAAATGTGCTTGCCACAGGTGATCCAGTCAAAAGTCCCTTGCTTAGTGCAATTTGGCATCTAGCACTTCACTCATCAGCTTTTGACTCACACAGATTATCCTGCAATGTAAAGACACCATCTTATTTTAGATATGCTACTGTTGTAAGAAAAGCAGGGTGACTAGAGTCTTCATATCCAGCAGTGTGAGTGAATACACAGCTGTGCCTTTAATGCATCACATACATCTTTCTTCCACATGCCAAAGTATGTGATGAACTGAAGTGCTATTATCCACTCCTGGATTTTTTTTTTTTTTTTTTGTACAAGGGATGATGATGTTCTCCATCAGGGAAACATTACTCTGAATATATCATTGTGCTGCATTGGCACATTTTAGACTCTGAACATTATTCTTTGAGTGTCTGTTAGTTGTCTTCTGTGTTCCACAGGAGGTTTCTACCTCCTCTGTTCACAGCAGTATCTCTGAGAACATGGGGCAAGTTTTAATTAAGAGCAGTCATGCTTCTGATGAGTATCTCATCGTTAGCTATTAGCAATGGCTTTGCACAAGCAGAGAAGAGCAGGGAAAAGGTAATGGATATAATATTAGCAGCTTGAAGAAACCACATTCATGAGAACTGTGCATTGCCTGAGTTCTTGCCAAAAAAAAAAAAAAAGTACATCTAATTTTATTTTGCCTTTTCCTCCTTCTTTGCACATTAGACCATGGAATGGATGGGTGCGGGTAGAAATAAAGATTTGGCTGCGTTAGACTTGCACTTTCTCTTCTGATATCTCTTTTGTATGCTTCAGCTATGTAAGCTTTCTCAAAGGGTCAAAAGAGGGCCACCCTAACCATCTTGTGAGTCCAGTTCTATTTTCTTTAACTGAAAACAATGAAATAAGAAATGTCTCAGTAAAATCAACGCATCAACTGATGTCTCTTTGAGCAAAAGTCTTATGTGGAGTGGAGATTCTTAATAAAGCAGAGTAAAGGAGATTCAGCCAGAATAGCCGTATTAGGATGACATGCATCATCCAAACTCACAAACTGAACCTTTATTTTCTGCCTTTCAGATGAATGGCTTTATGATTGGATTATTACCTAGGCTCTTTTCCTGTAAAAATCCTTGAGAATGTCTTCACTTTTGTGATATGAAGTAAGAGGAAAATACATCTCCAGAACTATCATGTATCTAGACTGGGACTTGAATGGTTTTTTTTTTTTGTTTCTCTGTGAAGTACTTCCAGAGACTCGAGAACAGAAGTGTGTGCACTGAAGATTTTCCTATTTTTAATTCCTGTACTGCTGGTAGATCTCCAACTGTTCTTATATGCCACCAGTTTAGTCTTTGTGAGAGGATGACTGTGTGCTTTAGTATCTTTAGATTTGACAGTGATGACAGACTTGGTACCCTGTGGTTTCTTACTTAAAGCCTTTAAAAAATATGTACAATACTTGCTGCCTTCAGCCATGTATAGTATAGGTTTGTAGCCAATTTTAAAGAGGAATCAAGTACCACTATTAGAAGCTCTACCACATTCATACAAACTTTTGGATGCATTTTCCATCAAACCCTGAAATGCTGTTGTGGAATTTATTGATGTATTTCACCACCTTCTCCTTTTGCTTATTTCCTCTCTTTCTTAGTTTAAAATACAGATTGGAAATCAATATCTTGAGCAGCAGAGATTGATATAAAAGTATCATTTAGCTTGTTAGCAATATCCTTATCCTTTCTAATTGTCCTGCTGATTCCCATATAGTCCTTCTGGCTGCTATCCTCTCAAGCTTCCTGTCAACAAAATACTGCTGTTCAGGTCTTTGGCTCATTCCTCTTCAATTCCTTTTTATCTTCTTTTTGTTGTCCACTTAGTATTTAGCCTAACCATCACTTTTGCATCACTTGGCTGAATTTCCATTTGGTAAAGTGTTTTGTTTTGAACATGCATGGATGAAATTGCCTTTAAAATTTTCTTTTCATATACTGTTTCTCTTGCCATTTTCCTTCTTATTATTTATACTCTATTATTAACTAACCTTGATGCAGTCAGAGCTTACTCAAATCCTTTTTTTTTACTTTCTTCATCTTTGCTCTTCTTTGTTCTATGTCATCTTCATCCTACTTCTTCCTTTTTAAGCTGCACTCTTCCCCTTTCTTTTATAGTGTCTGGTGGTATCCTTCTGTAAATCTTTGTATTAACTCTGTAAGGATAATAAACATTTTAATAGTTGTTCTATAGGATAGATCATCCTTTGTTCTTTGTACATGTTTGGAGAGCAGGAGTTTGAAATGTCTAACCTTATCCCAGGTCACTTTTGACTGGTTATGTGCATGCAGCTGAAGTCTCCCAGTACAACTGCTTTGTTAGGTTTATCTCACTCTGTTTTTCGTGTAACTTTATGCACTGTATGTTTTTCTTGCTAGTGTTTTCTATCACTTTACTATTATTGAACATAGCTTGAAATAGAATGAGATACAGCTATTCTTCTCTAACTGATTTTTAACATAATTATTACTATTAATACAAATAATACTTACAATATATGGTAATGGGTTCAGTTGCTATCACTGTTTCATTTGCATTTGGGCTGTACTTGCTCGTGCCCATTGTTTCGAGAATAAACCCTGCCTTGAAAGAATCAGATTCTGAAAACCATGATGTAAGAGAGAGAATAAACAAGCAAATAGGCCAAGACTGAGGAGGGCAGAGTCATAAAAATAATATAATCTGGCTATGCAGTGATGATAGAGTTTTAGAAAGGAATCCTGGCAGAGAAAAAAGCCATAGGGGCTGGACGCTGTGAGCTTCTTTGTAACTGCAGAGGTGAAGGATGCTTTTTCTTAAGGGTAGTCTATAAATACAAGCAGGCAACTCAAATAGTCCAACCAAAGCGAGGAAAATCTTTCCTAATTTATTTTTCTGCTTTACTCCTTTTTACTGTTTAGATGCCATCAGGTATATTAGTATTAAAAGAACTCAACAAGTCTGTGTTTGGTTCCCTTTATCACCACGGAGGTGTGCATGGTTTGGCAAGTCACCTTGGAACACTTGCTGTCATGTAGTTTGGTATCTAAAGACTATTTTCAGAGAAATTTAGGTGCTTCTTAGAGCTGCAGTAATTGTTTGTCTGCACCGTTAGGAATGAAATGCCTTTAAGTATCTCATTCTTATAACTCAGTTTTCACTCAGCAAAGTGAAAGTAGCACTTCGATGCCTCATAGAAATGTTATACAATAAAGCACTTCAGTTACTACAGCAGTAAAAGCGATATGATGACCTCTGAGATAGATTTCAGTAGCTTTCATCAGAGGTTTATCTCAGGTAGTCCAGAATGTTTAATTTGTAATGCTGAAGGAGGAAATATATAACACAGCAGGGAAAACCTGAAATCTAATACTGAAGATGCAAAAACAAGACTATGTTTTCAGAGCCTAATACAAGTCTGAAATTAGAGTGTATTTTTGTCCCTGCGTTACATTTAGTCTAGCTAGTATGGGCATGGAAAGCAAGCTGAAGAAACCTGAGTACATATCCAGGATCCCTGGATGGCATACACTTTGGCTAACAGCTTCTGCTATAGCCCGTGCTATTATCTTGTTATTACTGTTATCAGCTTTGTAAGGTAATTTGTGCAGTCTGCACTTTGGTCATACCTTTATTTTACAGTGCTCATACATTCAGTAGTAATACTCTTCCTCTCTGCAGATGGATTGCAACTTATGTCTTAATGCTTGTAGATTTGGAAGAGAGTGCAAATGTTCATCTCCAAGATAACTGTCTCTAGGGGAGGTGTGAGAGTGAGATCTTTGAGAGAGGATTTAGCCAACCTGTGTGAGGTAAGTCACAGCCGATTTCAGCTGACAGTGTTTTCTTTTCATAAAGATCCCCCCAGGAAGCGTGTGGACTCCCCAATGCTGAACAGGCATGGGAAGCGACGACCAGAAAGGAAGTCGATGGAGGTTCTCAGTGTGACAGATGGCGGCTCCCCCGTCCCTGCTCGCAGAGCTATTGAAATGGCACAACATGGACAGAGGTGGGTCCCTCCTTTACTTGGGAGCTGAGAGTCCCTCCTGTCTGGGTTTGTTGCCCTCTTACATGTCACACATACAGAGGAGCTGTGGAGCCCTTCTATTCACAGCAGCACTCATAACAACTTCCAAGCATACTTAAAATGTGATCTGGCAGCCAGCAGTGCTTATTCACACAGAACAGAAGTCCTGCCAGGAATTTAAGATTTCTGTTCACTTGCAGCTATTGTTCAGGAAACTGCTATGTCCTCTGGGCAAAATTCATCTCACCTCATTTTAATTGTTCAGAATGTAGGGATTCAGTCTAAGCTAGGTATACAGGCTGTCACTGTAGGCACTGGGGACAGATGAAGTCTCTGGGAGATCTCAGATATGTATCTTCTGTTCCAGCAATCTTAGATGGGATAAATTAAGCTCTAGTTGTTCTTCTCTGTCTCCATAGCCTATGGCAGGAATCTAAATGATGATACTTTTGGATTAGGTGCCAAGTTCTTAGGCACTTGAAGTTAAATGGAATGATCCTCACCCTCTATGTTGTTAGAATAGTGGAGTCTGGAAAGCCCTGTGCAGGCATCTGTGGGTACCTTTAAAGTGTACTGTCAGGGCCAATATGCATCCGACCCACACAAATTACCACATGTCTGTAAATTGATGAAATTCATGTAATTTTAATTCTTTTCTCTCAGAGAAAGTATTATCATTGTGGAGAGACAGCAGAAGAAAATGATGTTTCCTCAAGGCAGGTTCTGATGAAATAAGTGAACTGTGGAAGTTCACTTTTGTGAACCATGGGAGTTGCTTCCTCAGTCACTATGTCTATTCTAAAGGAAGCACATGTATTTGGATTTACACTTGTATAAATTAATCAGTATTAAAGAACACTTAACACTTCACATATATATATGCTGATGGTGCTATAACTTCTGTTTCAACTTTATGACATGATTGTTTTTGTTTAGCTATTAAGATCTGCTCAAAATGAGCCTGTTGTGCCTGCTCAGAAACTCCCTGTGCTGACTGAAAACTGGACGAAGTGAAACTGGATGAAATGGAATAATTTCCAGTCCAGAGACCCCTAGAATTGCTAGAAGGTTTTGCTGGCAACTGTTAACGGTTCTACCTACAGTGAGGAGAAAGTGATTTTCAGGATCTTTCTAGGGCTTATTTTAGCCTGAATATATGGTCTTGAGGTAGATGGCCAGAAAGATTTTTTGCTGTAGCGTAGGTTGGAAACCTGTCTTTGAGTGTGTGGTTTGTTTTGATATTTAATGTTTGGGTTAAGGAAATGTTCAGGTTAGCATGTACTCTTAAATGTTTCTGGTAGGCCTCAAAGTGATAAGGATGAAGATGACACTGACAAACAGTTGCTCACTCCTTATTCAACTTTCTGTATTTAATCTAGTACCTGGTAGATGTATGAGCCATAAATTGCCCAGAGATGAGCCAGACAGAGGTGAATCACTTTCCCCCACCCCAAAGCTGCCTGTAAGTTGTACTCTGCAGCTGCTCACAGTAACTGTCCAACTGGGCAAGACAAATAGGAAATGGTGAGATGAACAGTTGAAGATAATGATCCAGTCTTGTTCAAACAGCCTGGAATGTGTTAGATTGATTCTGAGATTTTCTGAGGACTGAAACCTTCCATCTCTCAACTTTGCCTTTGAATTTGGAAATGCTGAAGAAGCAAAACTGTGTCTCATTATACTTTTGCTTTTAAGTATCTCACTTAATTCTGGACAAGAAATCATTGGAAGTCAAAGGTCTGAGATGAGTGCACAGCACTGGAGGTACATATCCAGGTGACACGATTAAGAAAAAGTTTTGGCTTTAAGGAAGAAGTAAAACCTTCCAGCCACAAAAGAGATACAGGGAAATGCATACCCCACAACACATGGTTGGACATAAAGTTGTGATTAAGGGTGGAGGAAGGGATGTAATAACACCGTGATTGATGATGATGAGCTTGGTAGTGCTTGTTTTGGAAGGGGTTGATGGGAAGATAGTATTTTACTCCATGTCTGAGCTTCCATAACTCATACCATTCCACTTCCACAGATGACAATGGCACATATTGTGTTGCTGGCAGCACAGTCTTTTATAACATGAACTGGCTTCATTAACAAACACCACTGCATAGGGATTGTCTGGGGACGATGCATTGCTGATGGGGCACCATCTGTCAGAGCAGTCAGTAACAAAAAGACAAGTGCCTTCCACCAGGACTGAGGGATTTTTAATGGCTAGCAGCATATTATTTTCTGTGAAATGACCCACCAAGAGTGGATTTTACAGTGCTAGATCTTAGATTCCAGGATTGGATCCTTTTTTTAAGATTGACATTTTTTGGTCTGGATAGATGACTGTTTAGTGCTTTTATCCTATAATACTAGGAAGACAAAGAGGTGGACTGTGGAAACCAGCCTCCTGTTTAGACACAAATGACCAGTACAAACATCTGGAGACACAGAGCTATTGCTTCTTTCTTCAGATAACCAGTGGGCAGACTTTTCTGACCACGAGCAGAACACACCCATGTGTCACAATTTAGTCCCACGTCCTCTTTCCCAGTAGTAAACGGATGTTTTGCTGCAAAAAGGGGATTGATGGTATAACTTCTGATTTTATGTGTCTGTCTGATGAGGTGTGCTTTTGGTAACCAAGTGGAGACTCTACAAGCATTTGGTCTGGGCTTGTTTAAGGCACATCTTTCCATTGATATTTGAAACTTGGCATCTTTGAGCCAAACAGGCTGAGAAGGTTTTAGGTGAAAAACATAGACAGTTAGTGGCTTAGTTCTGAATAATGTATAGGAAGAGTTCAGTACAAACACTGCTTTTTGAGCTTGTTGACACCTTGAAATATTTGTGCTGACCTCTCCAAGTGGTCTCCAGTGGATCTTTGATTGTGAATGACAAAATTAATGTGCACAGACACCTGATACTTGGTTTTCCCTGCTAGTTGTCCACCTAGCAGGTTCATAGTTGCATCTTACTTGATTCTGCTTTTGTGATATTTCACTGTATTGTCAAAAGAAAAGAGGTAGATTCTGAGCTTACTTTAATACCAGCTGATTCGTCCCTTGGGCCAAAATCATACAGACTAAGGAGAATTCTGTGGGAACAAGAATCCTTTGGGGATATACCAGAAATTTTCAGCAGCTCTGCTGGAAAAATCCAAAACCTGTTCTAAAATGGGCTTTACTCATTTCTTTTCTGGTTATTGAAGTGGATAGCTTGTGTGAAAAATTAGCTAACATTAGGAAGCTGTATTCTGTGAAACAGTGAAGCATATTACCAGTGAAACATATCATGGAGAGCTGCCCCTTTAGCAAAGCATAAGGAATTTTGTTTTTAAGCTTCAGGGATTCAGACCTAAGATTTGGGAAAGAGAGTTGGGAGTAAGTGGTAAAGGGGCCTAATGACCTAATTCGAACCCTTTCCCAGGTTGTGCTTACTGTTGAGATCTTCTGGAGAAATCTGAGTAATGTGTGCTTTTCCTATTTATGCCTTCAGGCATGTTCTGTATGCCCTGGACAGTGTGACAAAAGTAGATTGCATCTGGGTTTTCAACTGGATAAAGAAGAGCAGGGTTTACAAGTATGTTTGGGGGAAGTCATCTTAGACCTCAGAAGTCAAGGGGAGATAATGAACTTTAGCTGTATGTAGGCATAGCCCATAGCTGTAAAGTAAAATAAACTTTTCAGAACATTGCTTAAAAAGGGGAGGATGGGTTGGGGGGCTGGGTGTCCAGCATTGCTTCAGGTGACTCTCTTTTATAAATGTCCACACTAGTAACTCTGTTTTCTCGCTTTGTTCCTGCCATAGTAAAACAATGTTCAGTAAAAGCCTGGATATCTCTGAAGCCAATCCCAAATTCAACAAAGAAGAAAGGTATAAACACTGACAATATGTTCCTCTCCTCTACCTCACTGCTGAGACCTTAAAGATGCAGTACTTACCTTCTCTGTATGGGGACATAGCTGTTCCTTCTTAGAAAGAAACAAAGAGAGTGGGATATTTACTGGTCCCACTACATACAGTTTTGTACAATACCTTACATTTGAGGCTATCCCCAATGCAGCCTGTGACTATACTATTTTCCCCACTACAATGTTATCCTGTTGCTACTTCTAGTTCAGATCTGCCATGAGTTAGGGTGCCTAAGCTAGAATATATATTTGCTAGAACTGCTCTGGGAAAGACTGGAGCTAGGAGAGCCAGGAGTGCTCCATTCTCAGCACTAAAAACAGTGGTACAACCAAGTCAGCAAGAGCAATGGTAGGAAATGTTGAGAATCCTGACTAATTGGAGCAAAAAATTAAGTACCTCTAGGTAAGGGACAAACTCTTTAAGACTGTCCTGGCTGCATCAGAGAACATGAGAGGAAAAAGTGATTGAAAGAGGGGGCTTTTGGAGGATGATTCCAGTCTGACAGTCTAACAGATGCTGAAGAGTAACAAGAAGAGTAACTCCCAACTATGAATAGAGGCAGAGTGGAAGACATACAGTTCATTAGATTTAGGGTCTCATGTGGTTGATGAGGTTGTTGGTGGACGTAGAATTCCTAAAATTCTGATCTTAGAGTAGGAGAATTCTTCTCTGATGTCAAAAGCTGTCATCCCAATGGATAATTCTTCATCATAATGTAATGTTCATACGTTTTGGACAAACACTCAGCCTATCCAAAATCAGCAGCTAAATACTTAGTTTCATATGATTCAAAAGAAAGAAGTGGTGAATTCCTTAAAGGAACCAGCCTGAGGACTCAGCTAGCCATTTTTCTTTCCATTTTTCCCTTTATAGCCTTTCTACTTAAAGATAAAAGTGGTGTTTAAGCTAAGGAAGACTTATAGGATGTAAGGACAGTCTCTGTTTTGGCCTTTTGCAGACTGAATCCTTTGTGAGCAGTGTTTCAAACCTTGAACATGCCGCAGTGAAGTTCAAATACTGTGCACTCACATGATTGTCCGTCATGTATGTAAGGCACCTTTAAGATGGCAACCTAAGTACAAGAACTGTACCCAAACCATTAGAAAACTCATAGTTTCATAGCCATAAAGGAATAGTGGTTACGTAGTCTTTAGCGGCTGAGTTTTCCTCAGACTGATACCATCAACATGTTCCTCTCTCCAATTCCCCCTGTATATGGATTGTATTCTTGAACGTGTCACTTCTTGCATTAGCATTTAGTGTGAAACTACTCCAAAGACTAGCTGTTTCACAGTAATTAAAAGTCAGGTCCAATAAGAGAGGTGCCTTTGCATCTGTGGTTTGAGAAGGGTCCTTCAGATGTCATCATCCCTCTGTACCTCTCTAGCAGCTTTTAGGCTGTGTTAGGAGCAGAGGAGGTGACTCTTCAGTAGCCACTGGGGGAACTCCTTACGTACATGCAGGCACTTCATGTTCCCTCTCAAAGATATTGTTTTTCAGAGTACAGGAGGAAAAGGGTAGAGCAGTCACAAGGATCACTTGTGGCCCTCCTCACTGAAAGGCCAGGGTGATTTTTGAAAGATCACATTCACTGTTCTCTCACCTCCCTCTCCCTCTTAGCAGTTAGGATGAGGGACCTCAGTGGCATGAAAATGAGAGGAACTGAATTCATCTGTGTACAGCCACGAGAAGGGAAGGGATAGGCAGTGAAGAGATCCCCAGCCAAATGAGGACAACTAATCCTGATGGCCATTAAATTTTTGTTCAGCATTTAATTATCCAACTTTATGACGTCTTTTTTAAAGGAATACTGCATCTTTAAGGGTCCCTTCCCTCTAGATGCACATGGTTGTCTTAGTAGCTGAGGCCACTGTCCCTTTCTTTTTCTTTCTTTCTGACTTTCACCCCCTCTTTCAGCGCTTCTCTTCTTCTGTATCTGGGTTGCTGCAGCTCCGTAGTTCACTTGCTTCAGTATTGTAGGGAATGCACATGTCTGCGCTTCTGGGTCTATTGTGTCCTGGGATTGTCAATTTTTTTTGAACCTCATTTGCCTCTTCCTTTTCCCTATTGTCAATTTGCTTTCCATTCTCTTTGTTAACCTCCTAAGTGCCTTCCCTGTTGGGAAAATGACTTGAAAGAAAAATGAATCAACTTTATTGCACCCATTCTATTTACATTTTAATATTCTGCATGTTTGGTTATGGGTGTATTTGCTGTATAAATATACACAGACGTTCCATTATACAATGGGTGTCAATTTGTTCTTCTCAGTTACATCACTGCAGGTAGATTTGTACTGGTCCAATTGAGGACAGCATTCGTCCCTAAATATATACAATGTGTATGTGTTTGTATATATATGAATTAGATCTGAACCAAATTTGCACTCCACGCCAATATACAAACGGAGTATCACTCAAGCACATGAAAAAGAACTTACTATAATGCTTCTTTCCACTTCTCTATTGATGCATAGCACAACTTTTTCTTTCTGTTCTAACTATGTTTTAATTTTAACATTCCTCAAAACTGCCTTGTGTTGCCTAGCCCAGCATTTGCAATGTTCTTGTATTCGGAAGCATGGCTAGTTGCACTGAGCAGGAAACTGTGAAATCTACTGGGCATATATTAAATTTGGCATTTCTGTCGGTGACCGTCTTGTGGAAAATGGATTTTCCTCACCCAGCCAGAGGTAACTCCGGCAGCTTGGGAGCCTGTTACTGAAAATGGAGAGAGAGGAAAAAAAAGAGACAGAGAGGAAAAAAGCACAGCATCTGCCTTAAAAATTATTTGGTTTAATAACACACCAGGTGTTCTTTATTCCTAATTAATCTCTGTTAATCTGAAAAAGTGGTGATACTTTCTTGAGTTTCGGTACCCTCACCCCTAAAAACTTAATAACCTGACTATTCTTTCCTATTTTGAGTGCTTTGGTTACTGGTGAAAAAAAGAATCTTGAAGTTTTTGATTGTCCCTTGGCATCTAAGTCGACATGTCAGATATTCATTCTGCCTTTAAAGCTGCTGTTTCGGACTCTTTTCAGCACAGCATCGATTTATTCTCCGTTTCACATTTGAAAGATTTCACTTGCAACCTTTAAGAGCCAGAGACTGAATTTATTTTAAATGAAAAATGAGATCCTGGAGCACAAGATGGCATCCACAGAGATAAGTGCTGGGTTGCTGAGCTGGTATGCTCTAGGTGATCTGAATTCCTGACTCTAAGACCATCATGACTAATAAGCCAGTAACAAAGCAGATTCACAGCTTGAGATACAATCTTGTACCCTGGGCTCCCAAGCTGGCTCAGAAATGCATGCTTTAATAACCAATAAGTTTCACAGTTCATTCATGGCAAAAAAAGTACTTCTTACCAGGCCAGCTTGGGGGACAGAGGGACACTACACTGAGCAAAAAGGGGACAAAAAAAAAAACAATTTCCTTTATAACAGTCTGATATAACTGTGGCTTATGTCAGAGTCAGAAAAGAAATTCAGCATAACGTCTGAACCCCGTTGCTCTGCTGACTGCTCTCATTGGGATTTGGCTGGAAAGGTTTTTTTACAGCCTTAGAATGTCCCTCTCTGTATTCCCCAGTGCCAAAGTTGGGTGTGTCTGCATTATTGTGAGCAGGACAGAAGTTATTTACTAGTAAATCAAACTGTCCCCCTAGTGTTCCTGGTTTCTGAAGATGTAGGCACCTGTGGCAGTAATTATGACCATGCAGTTCTCCGAACAATATTTCACTCTGCTTTTCCTACTCTTCTCTCCACCTGCTTCCACATCCCCCTCTTTCTCTTTCTTTCTCTTTGCCTTTTCTCTTCATTTTCTCTTTCCAAGGATGGCGAGTGCTGATCCATTGGGGTAAGCTCTAGTTTTGGATTATTCCTGTTGTGGGACCTGTTATGACTTGTAGAGAAACTTCTCATTTGCACTTTACAAATACAATACAAGTGGATATAGTTCAGAGAATGAGACTTCTCAGCAGGGAGACAGAGAGAGATGTGGGAAGAAGCATTTTTGGTGCTTTTGTGTATGTTTGTGTGCTTTTAAGTTGGAGTTACACTCCATATAGCTTAGTTTGGGGTTGTTTTTTGTTCTCTCATCTGTATGTTTCAATGTCTGTGAGCACACAGAACTAATCTCAGACACTGTGTAGGTACCAAAATACCCGAGAATATCTCCCCCTTCTCTTTTTGTATCTTCTTGATACCTTCCAGTTAACTTTGATCCTAATTTATCCTTTTCTCTTTCTTTTTTTTTTTTTTTCCTTTTTTTTTTTTTTTTTGTTCCTAAGATGAAGTTCAGTCCCATCTGTGTTATTAAAAAAAAGTACTGGGTATTTTCTCTCTTTTGAGTATAGATTTTCTTAGGAGGTGAGCAGATGGCCCTAAACACAGATATATCTTCAAAGCTCTTTATTTTCAATTTTCAATAAAGAGAATAGAGGTACGATTAGAAATGCAGCCCCATTTTGAATTAGATTTCCATTTATAAATTCTTAACATAAGGGGAATATTTATTAATAAATGATTTAATAAAAATGTTGTAATAGATCACTACAAACGACAGTCAAAGCTTATGAGAAGGTACAAACTGAGAAGGCTAATTAGCACCAGTAATATTTATATTAATAAAGCATGTTTGTAACATGCTTTACGAGTTATTAATTCTTTCTAAACCATTTATAAATGATTATCATGTAGTATGATTGGCCAGTTAAGGATGGTGGTGCTGTTTAACATCACCTTCTTTGTGTGCTGGAAGGAAGAAGAAGAGGTGTGTTATCAACACCTGCAGTCAAAAATCACTGCGTGCTTTTTGTAAAGGCTTCATCTTCCCAAAGGATATTACTATGAGTAGACCTTCTGACATAATCAGAAGTATGTTAAGGCGTTAAGGCTGGTATTGTTTGGACAGTTGGGACTGTAAGACAGAATGGCATTAGAAGTAGTCTATTCTTACTCCTTAGATCAGCATCAGGAAGCAAGGAACTACAGTTTGCATTTTTTGGACACCCAAGAGCAGAAGTGATGAAATGTAATACACAGTGCCTGAATGTTCACTATTGCTTATTAATTTGGGTAGTTTTCAGGGGTTTCATACCCCAAACTGCAGTTTACACTCTTTTATTTTTACTTGAGTGATCAAGAAAAGAGGAGTATCAAATGCCACCCAATTTATGCTTTAAACAAACAAAGATTGGCTGGATATTTTGGCTATGCCTTTCAAAACTATGCACAGAATCAAACCAACTCAAAATTTTGAAGGCATTTCACCCAGGGGCACAAGTCAGATGCATTACTGCACGCTGCATGCATGCTGCAGGCTCTCCTTCTTGGAAGCATGGCTCTAGCTTGACCAGCTAAAAGACTGTATTCAGCATCCTAGTAAAACTGTGCTATGAAAGCAAGTTCTGCTGGGACTGCAGCAAGGTACCAAACTCACTTTTTATTGTAGGAAAAATTTCTGTGAGGTGGTTATTCAAAAACAAAACAAATGCCAAATGTGAGCCAAATGTTTAAAGCTGGCTGCAAAGCCTATTGGTGTATAATAGCTGATGCACTGTTTAAAGCACTTGAAAATTAATCTGAGTGAAGGGCTATGTGGAGGTGCTCTGCACTGTACTATATGTGTACTGTGGTTAGCAGGTCAGCTGCTTTTTCTTCTTTCTTGTGCCTACACCTCAACAGTGTCAGGCTTCAGCCCTTGATTCTTAGAGCTCACAGGAAACGGCAGTTCTCTTAAACCAGCTGGAAACTGGATTCCAGCTCCTTGGGTTTACCAGTAAGACATCAACTGATCTAACACAAATTGGGCCTTACATTGTAGCAGCTGACTAAAATGAGTAAAAACTTACTTTAAAACAAAGGTTCTTGTAACTGAAGTATCAAATAGATTGAATAAGGTATAAAGGCATTGCATATATGAGCTACAGCCCGCACGTGCTCATTTCTTTTCAGTGCTTGGCCTCTTTCTTTCATAGCTCAGATGTCTCCTGCTTATTGTCTGTCTTTGAGATGGGAGGAATAGCACACAATGTCTTCAGTACCCACCTTATGTTTAGTGCTCTCTGTGGCTGCCCCTACCTAGAACTTGCGTCCAGATCCCTAAAGACAGATTTATTTTCATTTCCTCCCTCCACGTTTGACAAAGCAATTATGTCACTATTGATGGGACTTGAGTCTCTTCTTGGGTCCCTAATGTGGCAGTTGTGTTTGAGGGAATGCTCTTTCACTGAGCAACTGCATTAACTTTTCTGTTTGTTTTTTCAACAACTTTTTGATGACTTCCATTGAGTTAATGCCCAAGCAGACAGCAATGCAAAACGCAGATCAAAATGAGTCACACAGTGTTCATAGATTCCTAGATTGTTGTGTGCAGTAGTAAGCTATTGGAATAACTACAGATTTAATACTTCCAATGACATTTAATGCCTGTAGAGTAACTTCTGAGAAGGTTACTCACTAATAGATATTTCCTATCAAATACGCTTAGTGTGTAGCCAAAAGAATGTAAGATGATTTCATATTTTTCTCCTTTTTCCACATGTAAGATCATCCAGGGTCTGCCATACTAATGTGCTGCCTGTACAGCTTCCTACCTTTATTTTCTGGTGAGGGGGATACAGATTTAAATTCTCTCTGTTCTCATTGCAGCATTTCAGCGTAATGCAACTTTTTCATTACTTTCTTTTGGCCCTGTCCCAGTTCTGTCCACCTGACTCTGAGATACAGGAGCAGTGCATGTGTTTGTTTGTTTGTTTGTTTGTTTGTTTTAAAATGAATTCCAGCATTTCCTAGCTAGGGTGATCTCGATGGGAGGAAAAATCTCTCATTTTTGCTTGTTGGCATTTTTGTACTGGAGTATAGAATCTGCTGCTGTTCTGAGTTCTTATAGCCAGCTTGGAAACTGTGTCACATTTGTAGAGGTAAATTCTGCAGGATTTATTGAATTGCAGAAGATGCAAGGAAGAACTTCTCAGTCTGGCTGTTATATTCCGTATCAACATGTTCTTGTAAAAGGGAAAAGTTTTGATAATGTACAACTCTCCTTTCACCCCAGCACTTAAAATTAACCCAGGGTTCTTTAAACTCTTCCTACTGCTCCTCTATACAATTTCCAGTGTGGACAAACTAAGATTTGCTATAAGACCTAAGACCTACTTCTTATATATTTTTGCATGTAAATCAGCAACAGAAATAAAATTTGTTTGATAGCAATCATGTGGATACTAAATGCATTTCTAGGAGGATATCACACTAACTCTCTCTTCTGTCCCCTACCTCAGGCTCCTAGGCTGGATGAAAACACAGTACACAACAACTCTTTTTTCAAATATTGCTTCCAATAAGGAACTGGGAGTTGGGAGGGCGGGACTGCCGTGTTTTGTCCTCCATGTGTGTGATCATTTTTGTAAAAAAATAGAAGGCAGTGGGGTTGGGAGGGGAGCATTCAGGACTTGGAAACATCTGATTGCAAAAGAGGAAATAGCAGATTGGAACTTTTAATCAAGTATCCTGGAATTCAGGTGAGTGTCAGAGAGGACTTTCCCACCATAATTAAGTATTGGTGGGAACATCTCCTAGTGGTAGTTAAACTCCTAAACAGGTGTTTAACTGCATCTTTGGGCACCTAAATGCCTCACAAATCTTGTGCAAGGTAATTTATAGGCTTGTCTTGTAATTTATGGTTTGGAATAAGCTTTTGCTGATGACTCATACAAGGAAGATTTTAACCAAACTTCCCATATGCATGACACATCTGCGTTGCACTCAGCTATTTCAGTTATAGAACGGGCACACAAAATAGCCTATTGAAAGCAGAGCAGACAGTTCTCCCTTTAAAGCTACTTTGCATAAACCTTTATGAGCGCCTCATATTACGATGGTGCAAATTTAAGTTCAATTAAGTGCCAAGACTGAGCTTCTAAATTTTGTCTGCCATACTGTCATGGGCAGACTGTGGCAGGGTACAAGGAGGGAGATTCTGTGTAAAATGAGTGCCCCAGTTTTTCATGGTGCAAATTTAGATTTAATTTGGAATAAAAAAAAAAAAAAGCATGCCAAGTCTGTGCTTCTGCCTTTTACCTACCTGTGATGGACAAACTGGAAAGAGATAGAAGGAAAGCCATCAGTGAGTAGTTTCTGCAGAGAGAATAAGATCTACCACTGTGTTCAGTTTTAACTTACTCTTTTTCTGGAACTACCTCCTGCTATGCAGTTTACATATTTTTTAGCAATTTTAATACTCGGATTTATTTAGGAATATATTTCTAGAAGTCCATTTCAGAAACAGATATTTTGATTCTTCTAAAACAGGTTTAAAAGTTCAGAAATCAGAGACAATTCATGGCCTAAATTTCTTTTATATTCCCTTATATACAAGCTGATACTAACCAACCCATATCAATTCTAAATATGTGTATATACACATGCACAAATTCAGTCAGCTTTCCAAGCATCTACAAGATTTTATGTTTTCAAGTACATTACCTGAAGGCAAATAATTGCTTTCATTGCTCTTAGTATAGGTGAAACATTGGTAGATAGGCTAAATTGGCATGTTGCTTGGTGGTTGTTGACCAGCTAGGTTCTTAACCAACTTCTCTGCTGTGAGGTGTTTCAGTCTTCAAGTCAACTTTCTTTCTATTTAAAGCTACCTCTGGGGCTTACTCAGTTTGAGTCATGTGGAGGTTTTTCTCATAATGGGCAGCCCTCCTTCTGGAAAGTTGTTCTGCTGAAATGTTTGTTCATTTGGCCTGTGCCTTTTCAGCATGTTTTAGTATAGCACATTCATATGTTTTGTTTTGTTGTCTACAGCTCACAGTTTTATTAGATGGCCTTTGCTGGAGAGCATAAGAGCATTACAGTGCAGGTGGCCTTGTCAGCAAGTAAAGCAGTTGATTCTCTATTGATTGGCTTTTTTTTTTTGGAGGACACCTGGGCAGTTATCCTGCTGCTGGTGAAGTTATCAATAACAGCAGAACTAGCTATTCATAAACAAAACCTGGCTTGTTTAATGCAACAGCTGTAAATCTTACTGGGGAACAGAGCTGTGAAATCCATCAGTGAGAAGTTGGGGGAACTTGAGAGAGTGTGAACTTTGATTTCAATGGGAAGTCACTGCATAGGGAACAATTATGTATCTTGGTCCTGAAGGCCTGCTTTTTTCCTTAATATGTGGAGGAACTCCCTACCTTTTTGCCTTATGCACATGGTGGCTTTCTATGTTCCTTGTGACAGAACATCTCATTCTGTGACCCCCAGCACTGTGTAGGAGAGAGTCCTCAGCACCAGCATGCATCTTGACAGTCCTTTTTGAATTCAACAATTCCACTTGCGCAGGCCAGACACCGTAGTTTTCAAGGGCTTGATGGCCAAAAAGAAGGTAGCAACTCCTGTAATGAAAAGGGATTATAGCTTCCTCCTTGAGCAAGCAGCATTTCTTAGAGTTTTGTTGTGAGAGTGGGACAACTGAAAAATGCGACAGTAGTGAGAGGAAAGAGTCGTGCTTTTCCAGTGACAGTCTCCCAGTCTCCCTCCTTCCCCTCACATCATGCCTGTGCCTGCAGTGGCTGGTGTTCAGGGTTATTGCTTGTTTACATTTTCTGAGGGCCTTTTTCTTATTGTGTCCATTCAGGTCTCGGTCAATCAGCGGCGCTTCATCTGGGCTCTCCACCAGTCCTCTCAGCAGTCCAAGGGTAAGTGGTTCTGCTTCAAGATCCGTTGGTCCAGTTCACTCACACATGCTTGATGCTTTTCAACATCTGTTGCTGCAGAGCCATGGCTCTTAGCTGGGATGTTTTGGTTTTCCTTCGCAGCTTGTAAATTTCCATGAGTGGTGAGGGAAATGTTGTCTACAAATCCAAGCTGAGAATTTTCCATACATTGTCCCTGCACTATTAGAGGTACCTCAGGGATCTCACTGTGCCCCTGTCCTTTTTCAATCTCAGAAGTGCATTGAATAACATTGTTATGACTAAACACTGCTATTTCCAGCTGAGGTCTGTGTATGACATGGTTTCAGATCACGTATCAGAAACTGCTTCACAGCTACTTTCAATCAAACCACAGCAGAGCATCAAGCCATGCTGGCTACAATCAACTTAATACAGTTTGCCACGGAGTAGCTTGGATTCTAAAGTCAAACAAAATCAGTTTCACAAATTTGAGGAACAGCAAATTTAAAGGGAGAGTAAAAAGTTAATTAATTGAGGGTATCGTAAATCCCCAGTAAGGTGTATGCTATAAAGACAATCAGGTGTAAGTTTACAGGCTAGCAAAGCTTCCAACTCCTTGCTTTATTGAACTGTTTTCTGAAACATATTCTGGGTTCCCCTATTTTGCAACTGACAGAAATATGTTTGCAGTCTCCTCTGTCTCCTTAGTGTACCAGGAACCAGTGAAAATCCATTTCCTTTCTTTCCCTCTTGAATGGCAGTGGGATGAAGCAGATATCTGAGAATTCTCATACCACTGCAGAATGTACTGAAAAAGAGCAAAAAGAGTTATGTGCATAAAATAAGCATCCAGAGCTGCAAACCTTAGACCTGATCTCATTAATTGATCTCTTGGGATCAATTTCTGACATCTCAGTAGGACTACATCAAAGAATAAGGATGACAAGATCTGTTCCGTAGTTGCTGTATCTTAACATTATTACTTAATAGGCAGTTGATTAAATAGTCTTCAAAGGGATTTAGCAGCCAGATGGCATTTTCCACAGTTCATAACCATTTTAAGGTAGGTCAGATTTGTGGCTTAGAAGGTAATGTTGGAATAAAAAATTCTTTTAAAGTTTCTACCTATGTTCTAATAGCATCTTAGATTATTGAAAGGAGAATATACTTTAAAAATCAAATGCACATTTCACTGTATGCACTGCTTAGGTAAAGTTCTATGAGAAATTGAATTCAGTGGCAACTAAGAGTTGTTAAATCTCACAGGATCTTGCTAATGGTTTTCCCTATTGTACCAGCTGAAAGACAGACCTGATCTCGTTCTTTGTTATGTTACTAGAAATGTGGTAATTAAGGGTGCCCATTCAGATTAGTAATGGTTTAAGTGGGAGTTTAATTTGACTTTTTTCCTTCAAATTTGTTTCTCGAATTTTCACGCACAAATGATTTAAAAATTGCAAGGAAATGTTTGCAATCAACAGTTTTTGACTTTTATCATTTGAAGTCATTTGCAAATGATTAGTAGTCAGATGCTGATAGTGACTTTCATAAATTAACCACTTTCTTCATCTTTTCCCTTTTCCTTCTTGTTGGTGATCAGTATGGACCAGAATGTCAAACTTAATTTTAACTTTACAACTCTAATAGTAATACAGACTTTTTGATGCAGTGATTTTCTTTTAACTTTAATGGCCTAACCCTAAGTTCTTCAAGTAGAAAGCTTTGATGGAAACAATTATAGACATCGCTTTAAATACATCTCTGCAAGTTATAAACGTGGCAGCATTGTGTTAATCCATCAAACCCAGAAAGTAAACTTACTACTGCTGCATGTGCTTACCTGACATGTGAGACAAGGTTGCATTTACATGGCATGCCTCGACGTTGCCCGAGTAGAGCTGCTAAATATTCAGAATGGATAATAATAATAGTAATGAAGATGATGAATGCTTCATGATAGTTAATAATTTGTAAAAAATCAGAACATGAATGCAGACCAAAGGTAAAGAGTTTGAGTGATTATATCTATTTTTAAAAGTCTGCCAGTACTTGTAATCTGGGGTGTTAACAGCAATGTTTTTGAAGGACATTCATTTTGTTTTAAAAGTGACTTTTACTTGCAACTGTGCCTTGAAAAGGCATCTGTCTTCCCAAGTCTGTGTACGCTGTTCGCTGATTCCATATGAACAGTTTCCCAAAATGCCTGTTACATGTTTAAATGTTATTGTTTGGGGAAAAAAAAAGAGTCATAATCCCATTTTTGATAACTCAATGTTGGATTATGAACTTTATCTTTTTCTTTTTTTTTTTTTTACGATGTATCTTACAAACAGTGGTCCCCCCCATACCCTTTCACAGAATTGGGACTTAATGTCAAAGACTGCTGTAACTGTATGACAGAAATCTTAATTATCAAGCTGTCCTTCGACAGCATGAGAGATGTTGCAGGAGAAGCATAAAGACTAATGGGAAATATTCTCTCTTCCCGGATAAATGAATTTTCCAGGCCTTTCTGAAATTTTTGCTATAGCTATTCATAAAATAAGCACTGAGCTGAGCTCACGTTTTCCTCTTGGCACTGTGTGCTATGAAACCCCGAGTGGATGCTGAGTAGCTTAACCGTCCAGGCCAGGGGAGGAGGCCAGATGCCAACATGGCATTGCTCTCCCTTTCCTCCCTCCTTCTGCAAGGATAGCTGTAGCTGATGTGTGCCTTAGCCAGAGTCAGGGGCAAAGAGGAGGGACAGAGGTTCTGACCGGTGTGTGCAGTAAGCTCTGTGTATCGCCTACCACTCTGTTTGTATCACACACCTGTTTTGAGTTCCATCTCTCCACTGGGTTTGCACATGGGCACTTTGAGCTGAAAGAGGTGGTCCCATTCTTGGCATATCTCAATTTGTGTGTGGCTTCAGTGATTCTTCCCCTTCCTCACCTCCCTAAGCATTGTGCTTCTCTCACTGCAGGGCGATCAGAACAATCCCAGAGAGATGACATTTCTCTCTTCTTTTTTCTTGATTACTTTCTTTCATTTTGTTTTTTACTTTTCCTTTGTTTTACTTTTCTTTCTGTTGTTTTCCTTTGCTGACACGTGGTTGGTTAATATGATGAAGCCTGTTATGACACTGTTGTTCTTGCTGCTGCCGCTGCTGCTGTTGTTGATGATGCCGTGTTCCCAGCTAACTGCATGTCTTTTTTTGTTTTTTGTTTGTTTGTTCGTTTTTGTTTCTTTGCAAAATCCCTCCCCCACTACCCCTTCACCTCCATCTCTTGTGTCTCCTTGTGACATGATGCATCTTTGTGACTCGGATGGATTTTATTCTGACTTTCCTTTCTCTGCTCGCCCGCTCTATGCGTATTTCACTGTTTTTGATGTGCATGGACACTCCGTGTCTGTCTCGTAGCCTATCAGAAAGTTCTTCATCCCCCCTCAGACCTCCGACCTCCCTTTCTCTCCCCGACCCCAAGTCTCCTTGGACCCCGATGCTTGTAGGAACGCCTCCAGGCCTGGACATGTACTCCAACCAAAGCCAGCACTTCAGCCCAACCCAAAGACGCAGACTTTGCCATCCAAGAGCAAATTGGCCGAAAAACCACTCCAGTCTACTAAATCCAACCCACTCCCTTCCAGCAATACCAGCGCGCCCTCTTCTCAGAACAGCCCTGTGCAGAATGCCCCGGGCCGCTCGCCTGCTGCCGGCTTTAACCCACAGCTGGCTGTTCCTAAATTGCAGACCAACCCTATGTCTCCTGTTAGATTACTCCCTTCTAGTACTGACCCAAGCACCAAATCTATCCCCATCATACAGGTCACCCCTCACCCCTCTCCAAGGGGAAGTCCCCTCCCTACCCCCAAGGGGACACCTGTCCATACGCCAAAGGAGAGCCCAGCAGGCACACCCAACCCAACACCACCATCCAGCCCCAGCATTGGAGGAATGCCATGGAGAACACGGCTCAACTCAATCAAGAATAGTTTCCTGGGGTCTCCTCGCTTCCATCGCCGGAAATTGCAAGGTGAGTACTCTGTCCAGATGTACAGGGTGGGTCTGATTTGGGCAGCCATTCAGCAGCAAGTTGATACCTCTCTTTTGTTCTCAAAAATTTCACGTGCCGAAAACTGAATACTGATACAGCAAAAAAGAGTGATAGCATCAAGCAGTGCTAGCCCAAAGTGTATGTCAGCAAGCTCTGTAAATCCACTGCACTTGCTCCAACAGCATCTCCTGAGCCCTCTTCACACTTGAGTAGTACAGACCTTAATATCATTGACATGGTTCTTAGAACTAAGGAACATTTTATCTTCAGATCATCACTTATTTTGCCAGCAAACCTAGAGCTATGGTATTTCACCTATGCCTGTACTCTGCTGCCTCTCTACAGCTGTAGGCCGAGCTTTCTGCTGAAAAAGAGACAGCCAGTGACAATAGACTGAAATTGTTCTTTTGATGAACAGTTTGTTTGATCTTGGTTAGTGCTTTTTTTTTACCACCTTGGGTAATTGGTATAAAATTGCCTTAATACAATCAGCGTTTTCATTTCCATTGGCTTTAGTTTTAAGAGTCTAGAGTGTTGAGATCAACAAAATTGTTTTCTTCGATCTCCAGGTAGCTTTTTGCATTCAGGCAAAGGGCACCCAAATTCCCATGCACTGTCCTCAGATATAATCAGCAGCCATCCTAATACCAGGATCCTTTGGGAGAGCAGGATTATAGCCATGAAAGAGTTAGGTTTTGTTCTGTGATTGTCAGGGGCATTGTCCCTGAGATGGCCAGAGAATTGCTGAGAATTGCAGCAGTGACTGAGCTCCAGCCAGATGGACTTTGAAACAAATGGCCTGGCATGGGAAATTTGTACATTGTTCTGAAAATTCCACAGGGATTCCTCATATTTTCGGTGACTAAAGGAAACTTTGCATAAAACCCCATTGCATAAAGTGTGAGAGTTGGCTCTTGAAACAATAGTAAACAAGTTTTAAGGCAATCAGATTGGCACGATGTTTGGGATTTCCTAGTGATTTAAGAAGTAGTAGAACAAGCCTTGAAATGCATCACTTGATTAGATACAATAATCTAGAGGCACATGACCCATTTTAAATGTCAGAAGTTGTCTGCAGAGGCAATGGGCAAATGAAAGGGTGGTGCAATGTCACAATTTTTTCATTGTTATAGAAACAAAAAAAAAAGAAGGTGTGCTGATTCATTGATTTCTTTTCTCCCTTCCTCTCTTTGGCTGTGTGTGCATGGGCAGTACCTACACCAGAGGAAATGTCCAATTTAACCCCAGAATCATCCCCAGAGTAAGTATTTTACCAATACTCTACTTCTTTTCCACCACCTACCAATGTCATTTCATAGCCTGAATGTTGTAGGGTGACTGTTTCTGCTCTGAATCAGTATCTGACTGTAGCCAGTTATACGACGACTGGGACTGAGATGTCAAAATAATCCCTCTGTTAAGGGCCTGAGATAAAGTCTATACCTCAGTAATGGCTGTGGGGTCAGCTGGTGATGAAACAGTCTCACAGTAACCACCTCATTTTTACTCATGGCTTGCTGAGTTTAGTAGTCTTGGGACATCTTCTCATTCTCTTCTTTCATTTGGTTCTCAAGCACATCACTCTTGGGGATAGTGAATGGCTTATATTGGCACTAACTATGCAGTAGAGGGTCTTTCTCTTAGAGCGTGTAGGTTTGAATCCTCAAGATAGCATGCAGAAGCCTCTGCTCAGATGATTCAGAGGAATCTTTGGCTGGGATAGTAAGTGCAATGTTAATTCTGGATAGCAACTCCGGGAGGTGGAGAAGCTGCTTCATATTTACCAGACTTGTTCCTGAAAGTCCGTGTACATTTCAGCCATTTAATGGCACAAATGTGCGTCACTGCATGGCAGGTTTGGAAGTCCTTGCCAGAGAGTGCTGCTCCAAACGCTTCCTAATATATGCAACAGATGCCAAATTATTCCTTTTTATTTTCACAGCTTGTGTTTGTGCACCCAATACCCATAGGCTTTCCCTGCCAACCAAGGCAATTTGGCCTTTCATCAAAATACTTGTGTGAAATATTCATGAGTCGTAGATGAAAATTGCAGGCCCAAAGTTTTGTAATTGGTGATAATGGTACTTTCCCCAGACCTGGCATGTAACTGATGTAGTATGTGCAATCTATTTCTAATGGTGCAGAATGGAGAGCGATAAAGACTACAGGAGAGGGAGAAGTAAGGAACAGTAAAGTTTAGTAAAAGAAATTCAGGAAGAAAAAAATGAATAAATTGTATTTCCAACATTTTGGACCATGTACTAATGGAGAGGCATGAGAGAAAATTCACAATATTAACACATCCTGACAGAACAAATACATTATATTCTCATCTTGATTATTTTTAAAGCTTTTAAAGCAAAAAAAGCACTGAATTAAGTTTCTTCCCTTTGTATCCTCTCCTCTCACCTTTATGCATGTATGTTGGTTGAAGATCTGTGAATTTATTGCCTTCTCTGCTTCCCACTCACCCTTTGAAAACTGGTGAATGAAACAGTGCCTATCATTCGAGGCAGTTTGGATGCAAGTCAAAGCCTAGGGCCCTTTTTTCTTTTTCTCTATAATTGCCAAATTAATGAGTTCAATTGGGCTGCACCCTCCAGTAAACATAATAAAAGTCATAAAAAATAATGAGCTGGATTTTATTTTAACAGTTGATATTTCATTGCTCGGTGCCCAGAGTGTCTTGGTGGGTTTTTTTTCCTGCTATTCTCTTCCTTTCTGTAAGAAATAAGGTATCCTTATCAAGAGCTCTATTGAACTCATGGGTTGAGCAATAAAAATATATGTCCTTGATCTAGTACAGCATTTTTCAATGACTGCCACTCTTTTAACAAAGGCTGATGTTTAGATGATATGCTTTGACATGTCTGGGTAGTGCTATTCTTTCTCATTTGAAAAAATCCTAGAAAATGTGCTAGGGATGGCATTTAAAGAGACATACCTCCAGCTGCTTTAGACACGTAAAGCTCCAATTGCTTGCGTAAAAATGCTGTTATTTATGCCAAGCAGGTAGATCTACAGAGGTTGCAGATCCATGCAATCAGAGACAGGGAAGACAGTGAGGCAGTGCAGTCAGACGCTGCAGAAGTAGAAAACAGAACAACATTACAGCAGTCAGAAATTCAGTGTGAAGTAATAAAGCACTTGCCTGTATTTTCATACTGACCTTTTTTTTTTTCCCATCAACTGAACACCTGATTAGATTCCCAATGGACCCAGCCTCCCATGTATCTTCTGTCTCCCTCCTCATTAGGAAGCTTACCATCACAAGAAACGTTTGTTTTCACTGTTTAGAGCCTGATTTTGGAGGGTGCTAGAGCATCTCATTCATTGCTAAGGATCTTTGAATCATACCTGTTTTAATCCAAGTCAGAAGTACTTCACACACCTCAAGAGGAGGGACCCCCTTGTTGTATGGTTTCACTCTTAAATGGCTTCTTCTTCAGCAAACCTATTCTCTGTACAGAAGCACAGCTAGTTCTGCCATTGTCAAGGAGAAAAATGAGTGCGTGTGTGCTCTGTCTTGATCCAGTTCATTCCAGAAAGAGGAGAGACCACTGGCATCTATTCTGTGTCATGTGACTTGAGCAAAATTATGTATTGAATTCCAGTGATTTGCAAGCTGGATCATAGCCCAGGCTATCAGTGTATCTTTCAGAGTCAGTGTTACTGGTGATAACCTTGCTGAAGAGAAGAGCACAGCTGCACTCTGCAGACTCCAGACCAAGTTTCCAAGCTGAACAAGAGAAATCCTTGTGTTCTGTGGCCCTCATAACCTGCACTCATTAAGAGACCTATAAATGAAGGCTCCACAAAATGATTAATAAAAATACAAATATGAAAAGTAGTATTTTAAGATGGCAGATCTGCAGTTAAATATACATGCTTTTTGCAAGTTCAGCTTCCAAGGAGCGTGTGTGACATACATTGGGCCCCTTGAGTCCTGACAGCCAAGCCCTGTTCACATTATGATAGATCCCAGCCTAAGACAACCAGACATTTTAGATAGATAACCAGGTGCAAACTTACTAATGAGCATAGACCCTTTACATGCAGGGAGCTATTGCCCCAGCTCTCTGGAGGCTTGCGGAGTTGTTATGGTAGGTGTGAGACACATGAGCTAATTAGTATGTAATTTCCTTTCACACTCTAACCCTGGCTCCTTAACGACCCATTTAAATGAGAGGCCCTTTCTCTTTACTGCTCTCCATGCTAATCTTTGGCTCACTGGTTTAGTTACAGCTGCCTCTGAATGTTTTAGGGAGTGACTTTTCCAGCCCACTTTAATTGAGTGGGGGGCAGTGACCAAATTGCAAATGACTCCTTTTGTACTCTTATCTCTATAACGGGTGGACACAAATGAGTATTTGCACAGCTGACATGCAGTGTTTCCATGCTCCTCTCTTCCTTCATCTCTGCCCTTCCTCATTCTGTGTCTTTGCTACCAGGAAGGGGTTCTCCTAATAATCAGCACTTTGTTGGGGTGCACAGCAGTCCTTTGTGCAGATGGCTTTCCTTTCCTGCAGTGGCTGGTCTGTAGATTGTCTTGTTCTGTTGAGTGGTGAAAATCCCCTAGAAGTGAAAGCCTATTGCTTGCCATGGCACATCACAAAATATCCAGTGGAGTGAAAAAGTTGTTCAAGGCAGGTCTTTTCATCTCTGGCTTTTTCATGCTAAATTTTTCTTGGCTAGAATATGATCCCACATGACAGTGGGATTGAATGCACCTTCAGCAAATTTGGAGATGGCACCAAGCTGAGTGGTGCAGTTGACATGCTGGAGGGAAGGGATGCTATCCAGAGGGACTGGGACAGGCTTGAAAGGCAGGCCCAGTCAACCTCATGAAGTTCTGTAAGACCAAGGGCAAAATCCTGCACCTGGGTCAGGGCAATCTCAAGCACAGATACAGGTTGGGCAAAGAATGGCTTGAGAGCAGCCTTGAGAGAAGGATTCAACAGGAGCCAGCAATGTGCGCTTGCAGCCCAAAAGGCCAACCATATCCTGGGTTGTATCAAGAGAAGTGTGACCAGCAGGTTAAGGGAGGTGGTTCTCATGTCTGATGGCATCTTCCTTCTCCTCAATGCCGTAACTCTCAGAGGTACTACCTCCAAGTTCTGATTTCCCCCGGTAATATACGTGCCCCATTTTTCCTTTAGCTGATTTATCTTAAATGTGAATTTCAATAAAGTGCATCAAGAAGATGGAACAATAAGCAAAATCAAACATTTGCTGATATGATCAGTGTTAAAAAAAGAACAACTTGATTTTATGGTGATACCTCCATCTGATGCTGAAAGGAATGATGGAGTTGGACTGCTGTCCGTGGAAAGCCTGCACTGTGTTTTGTGTGGTGCTGAGATCTTCTTTCTTAGTACTGGAAGTTTGTTCTTTTGTAAGAAAGCCAGAGTTTGTTCCTTATTAAACTCTTGCTGAATGGGACTAATGAATGAAAAAGTCTTTGTCCTGGCTTTATGGGTAGCAGTGGATTTCATCTGCAGGCAGATCGAAGGGCCAATGAAACCTTGAGCTTGTTTTAAAAAGTAACTGTCAGTCTAAGAAGACATATTTGGGAATGGAGCTTTCCAAGTCTAGAAACAGTAAAGAGGTAGAAATGGGCAGGGGTAAACTTAAACTGCTGTGCTGACAACACCCACTATTGTCACAAAAATTGAGATCCCTGGAGATATCTCAGAAACATGTCCCCAGCTTTACAAGGTCTGTGCCAAAAGCAATGCCTTCTATGGTATTACGTCGGCCCATGTCATCTGAGGTTGGTGGTATGGCAGTAGAGGTGCTCCTTCCCATCAATATTCAGTTACATTTTGTTGCTGTGTGATAAATGGCAGCAGAGGGGCAGTCTGATGGAATGGCATCTGACGTGGAAGGGGTGTCACTGAATTCCTCCATGTGGAAAAAAGTGACATCTATTTATATTTATTGATGTTTGATGAACATTTATGGAGGCCTACCAGTGGAAGAGAGCAGTAAGGTAGTGGGTGATGTGTTTCAGCATTGGTGACAACAACAGTGGGGCACCTGATTCAGATTTTTACAAGTGCAACAAGCAAGCTCTTGTTCATAGGTAGTGAAAATGCATAGTTAATGGTGGTGACTGTGTTGAAAAATAGTGTTTTGCAGCTGAGAATTTGCTCGATCACATAGTGTTGTTACGTCTTTGTATCGGTTGTAGTTTCCATGGAAATAAATAGGAGGCATTACTTTTAGAGAGACCTATGTGTATGAATTATGTACGTGGCATATTAATTAGTGTATTGGCTTTATATAAAAGTTACCATTGCTGCTGTTCTTTTCATGGCTGGTCACACATCTTGCAAGATTTAACACGGTGGGGACTGTTACTTAGACAATTTTCACTAAGTGAGTGGGATATTCATAGACTCTGTGAGCTACCTGTTGTAGTAAAACCACAACTGGAGTGTTACCAATAATTTCTTGCGCAGTTTTAAAATATTTTTTTTTCTATCTGGAAGGTATCTAAAAAGTAGTGCTCAATATTCTAAATTATCTCTTTCTTTTTCATCATGTCAGGCTTGCCAAAAAATCCTGGTTTGGTAACTTCATTAATCTGGAGAAAGAAGAACAGATTTTTGTGGTCATTAAGGACAAACCACTAAGCTCCATTAAGGCTGATATTGTCCACGCTTTCCTGTCGGTAAGTCAGCCAAGCTGCCTGTTGGATGCATTGCTCACTGGTCAGATCTGGGACTCACTGTGCCATGTCTGGATGAGGTGCTGCCAGTCAGTGGGGAGCTACGAGAAATGGTTTAGTAGCTTGTGGTAGTAATGGTAATGGGAGGATGGTCGGACTAGATGATCTTGTAGGTCCTTTCTAACTTTGTGATTCTATAATTCTATGTACTAGGCAGGTTTCTTCTCCTGCAGGTGCATCCTCTGTGCATTTGATTTATGTGTTGTGTTGATTTAGGCATCTATTGTGTTCTGTCTAAATTTCTAATTGTAGAAAATATTCTGTGAGAAGAGATTTCAGCCTTCTGAAAGGTGAAGTCTCCAGGTTGGCAGTGCTTGGAATTTCAGTGCAGTTAGAGAACACTGGTAATACAGTTTCAAGACAGTAATTTGCTGCTTTGTCACACTTCTCTTAAGGTCACCATCTATGCAAAAGTCTTGGCTTCCCTGGCTGTGCTCTCCATCACTTTAATTAGACAAAAACCTGTGTCATGTCTGCATTTATTACTTTAGATCTTCTCTCCTCAGCTTTATGACAGATAGAATGGTAATTTCCACTGGTGACCAGAGTCTCAGTTGTTGTACATACTCCTTATTTACAATCCAGGATAGTCTGCAGTTTTAGCAGAGGAAAATGATTTTGTTTTGTTTTGTTTTGTTTTCAACAGAAAGTCCTTATTCTCACCATTTGCAAGTACCAATAAGAAAAAAGTCAGTACAGTAAATTTAACTTGCAAGATTTTTAAATTCAAGGATGTTTGAAGCATACTGAGACCTTATTTTCCAATGGAACTGAGAGAAAGCAGCTCAATTTCTTATATAGGTTGTTGAATTGGTATTGTTTTCCACAAAATATTACTCTCCTTTTTAGTCTTTATGATGCTACAAAGAATTTCTTCAAAAACAAAAATCCAGTTCTTTTAACTGTTCATACACAGTGCTGGCATACAGAGAGTGTGTGCAGTATGCATCAAACATTCAACCATCAAACAATCCATCTCAGGTTGGTTTGAAGCAGTGATGTTCCTATAGTGGTTTCATGCATTTAGCTGTGCTTGTGGGTTTAGTGTAGTGTGCACCACTGTTTGTGCTGGTGATCCTATGCATACCTCCACATCTGTGGGGTGAGATGCAATGCGGTATGCAAACTCTATGAATCATCTCTACAGATAAGTTCTAATTAAATGTATTGTCATAGCCTGATAAGTAAGTCCTTAAGGACACCTTGAAGAACTCATCTCTCATAATTCCTCCTAAATTAGAAGCCAGATTTCCAAATGGTTAGAGAGATCTTTTGAAAATTTTGTCCTTTGTGAAGCAATAAATAAAATACAAGAGTAAGTTAAATTTTGGCAATATCTGTTATTGGTGCCTGCCTGAAAATTAGTGAGTTGTGAAATTCTACTGTAAGTCTGATGATACAGACATTGGATCACACCAGAAGGCTTCTCAAAATTGTTTTATGTATTGATAGGAATAGTGATTTGGGTAAGTACACATATTGTTCCTGTGGATATTCCAGACACTTGTCTATGTGTCTGATACTTGTCCTGATGTCTCTTTGATAGCATAGAATCACAAATTCAAGTCCAGAAGAAAAAACAGCAAATCTTATAAATTTTGCAATTATTTCCTTTGTGCACTGGCTGTACTGTCTTCTACCAACCTGTTTCAGATTCCAAGCCTCAGTCACAGTGTCATCTCACAGACAAGTTTCCGTGCAGAGTACAAGTCCACAGGAGGTCCTGCTGTCTTCCAGAAGCCGGTTAAGTTCCAGGTGGACATAACATACACAGAAGGGGGAGAAGCGCAGAAGGAAAATGGGATCTATTCTGTCACTTTCACACTCTTATCAGGTAACTATGGCAAAGCTGCAACATGGGTGCAGGTTGTCTTTGTCCTTGCTGATATGGAGGCCTGCAAAGATATTTCTGCTAGGGCAAAGTATATAACTATCTTGACCTGAAAGGAAAATTCCAACAGTGAGCAAGAGGATATTGGGATCAAGAATGGCAGTGGTAGTAATGGAAATGGTGGGAGGGCAAAAGATTCCCCAGAGGCGAAGTTGCCACCACCATAATGAACAATGCATAATTAATGCTGCTCTGTTCACCAGATATGAAATACTTCCCTATACTATATCCTTGCTTTACTCAAAGGTCTCAGTATCTCATCTGGGCACTGTGGGCCAATGATTTCTCCCTTTGTACAGAAATATAGGATCTCTTTTTTTCCTGGCTCATCATATGCCATGCACAAAGTTTAAATTAAAACAACAAGGAAAAAATGTCCCTAATCTTTTCTGTCTTTACAAAATAAGCCGTCTTTCCTTTTGTTGAGACCAACACTGCGAAGCTTGTATTTATATTGGGACTTTATAATAGTTCCTCAAAGCTGTGCCTTCAGGTGAAGCATAGCTATGCTATATGTACACTTATGGGGATGAGATGGAAGGGAAGATGTTTGTGACCCTTTCCCTCCAGCCTGTGTTACACGAGGATTCAGTTCACACTCCTCTCACAGCCATTTGTGCCTCTTCTCTCCTCACAGGTCCAAGCCGCCGTTTTAAGAGGGTAGTAGAAACCATTCAGGCACAGTTGTTAAGCACACATGACCAGCCTTCAGTGCAGCAATTATCAGGTAAGTAGTTTCTACTGTTGAGCACCTTGCTTCAGAAAGGACAGGAAGACAAAGTGCCTCTCAGTACCAGGAGGCTGAGGGAGGCCATCCCTCTGAATACAGCAAGAACCTAGCTCCATTCAGACAGAGCAGTAATTTCCTGCACCCACCCTCCTCCTCCCTCTCATCCCCACTCCAACGCTCCCAGCGCATTCCCCAGTTGAACAGCTTTTGCCCTCCTCCCGCCCAAAGAGCCATTTGCCCTCTTCTCCATCAAAGGCTGCATTATCAGTTGATATTCCAGATATTCTCAGGTTCCATAAGCTCCCAGAACAGGGAAACAGTCTGGAACATACCAATTTTCAGTCTCTTCAGGCATGCATTAGAAACCTCCAACTTCAGAAGGTTGCAGAAGAAAGCTAAGAGCTGCTTTTAAGTAGCCATTAACTACAGTGTTTTCAGTTGGTTGGAAGGTGGCTGATAGTTTCCAGTAGTGCGGTCATATTCCTGTGGTAGCACAAGTCACACGCTAAGGTTCTGCAGAAACTATATTTTATTGATTTTTAAAATAAGTTCCAATTTGTCGTGGTGGTAAAGAAAGGCTTACAAGTATGGCCCTGTGCAGTGACATCAATCTGAATCTGCAGGCAGCCTGAAATGATAATACAGAAACTGGCCTCATCCCATTGTTAGGTAGCAAATGTTCACTCTGACAACCAGTGGCACTATGAAAAAAATCAGTGTTAGCTCTTCTATCCTTTAAGAAGACAGAATAAAGGAAGAAGGTGAAAATTGAAAACGTAAGGAAGCTCTGATATTGGAAATGCTTTGGGGAAGGAAAAGTAGGGAGAAACAGAAAGACCATAAAGATACAGGGAACAAATGGGAGCAAAGGAGAGAGTGGAGGCTGCAGGAAGAAGAGACAGGAGGAATGGGAAGTGTTTTCCCATCATATGGGAAAAGGTAGTACGTATATATACGTAAAAGCCAAGTTATGTGCTTTACCTTTGTGTGAACCAGCCAAGATGACATTGCAGAATGAAATCTGCATAGGATCATACAGTTAATTGTTAGGTCTCCTTGGCTTGTTGCACATATGGGTTACATCCTTCTGTCTAACAGTGTGGCTTTAACAGCTGAAGAGAAAATAACTCTGTCTAGAAGAGTGTAAGCTCACTATGTGACAGAAGAGTATGCTCAGCTCAGGAAAGATTATTTTCCACTTTACTTTTGCCTTCCAGCACTGCCTGACCTTCTGCATGCTAGATTGCAAGGGTGCCCAGCACATGGGTTATTCTGTTAGGAAACAGAAAAGGTGAGGATCTTAGATCTAAGGCTGATTCTGATTTTTGCTATGTGAATTTCTGAAATAAAATAAAATTCAAGGAAACAGACAGAAATTTCTACCAGCTTTTCCTCTTGGGAAATGCTGGGACCGAGTGAGAGTAAGGGTAATTAGCTGAGAAAAAAAGTATTCTCTATTTCACATTACCACTGGTGTGTGAACAATGTTCAACCATTCTTTCAGAAAGAAGTGTGCCCTTACCTTCTGTGAGGGAAAAACTGTTTAAAAAAGTAAATGATGTGATCTCTCTTAACTTCTTTACCCTAGCATGTGCAAGCTACTGAGATCATACAGAAAAACTCAGACTCTGTTGCACACTTACACATGAAGAAGGGTATCTCTATAAGAAAGTCATATTGTAGCACAAATAAAAACCATTCATCTGACTGAGGCTCAAGAGACATTTAGAGCAAACTGTGCTATGAGAAATGCATCTGACTTACAGTTTTGCTCTGATTCTGGAATGGAGAAATTATATTATAGACACAGAGTCTCCTTCTGTTGCCTAAAGCTACATTAGAGTAATTCATTCTCGCAGAGGAAATGCAGCCTGATCTTTAAAGACGGGGAAAGTGCAGCTCCACATGGAGTGTTAAGAACAAGAACTCTGTCATCCAGGTAGTTAGCTAGACAAGGCAGCTCACAAGAGATACGGCACCAGACTGTCCTGTATCTATCATCTGTCCTGATCAGCAAGATGCATTTCTCTCGGAGAGAAATAATTTAACCTGAAAAACTTAGTTTGGAGAAGAATCCAAGGGAAATAGAGAAAGGAAGTGAGATTATTACTGTGGAAAAGGCAGCCTGTGCTTCAAAGTAGGGAGGTCCCATGATTCACATTCTCATCCAAAGTGAAAGAGAAAATAAATGGATAAAGGAACTGCAAAGAGGTCATGTTTAGCACCTTGGGTGTACAACCACAAGCTGGGTGGCCGTGGTTGGATAAGGCTGTGCAGGGCTTCCTAGAAATTGCCAAGTTATTGCTCAGCATTTGTTACTCATTTAGAAGCAAGACAAATTCTTCTCCATTTCTCTTCTTCTCCCACATTCCCAGCCCTGAACATCTCACAGGAATTAAAATGGCTGGACTCCTGTTCAGGTTCATGTTTTGAAGATGCCCTGTAGGCAGTTCCCTGCTGAAACAGAACAAGCTCATGGTTCACTTAGACTCTCCTCCTCCATGGCTTTGAGGACATTGCTGGCTCTGACCAGCAATGCTGACTAGTTTGCTCCCCTGCCAGTGCACTGGAGATTTTCCTAGCTCACTGTGCACAGACGTATCTTCTGTGCAGTTGTCTCCCCTGCCTTTTGGTTCAGGCACCTTTACATGCAGGATGGTGAAAGCTACCTGTGAAAGTGTGCATGTAAGGTGAGATGTGGAAAAGGACAAGACAAATGAAAGCAGGGTGAGATAGAACAGCAAGGCCCAATAAGCATATGGCACAGACAGTCATTCTCTCTCCTGCTCCTCTTTGATCTGTTATGCAGCATGCCAGCCCACTAAGCCGGCTTGCCTGGGTTTCAGAACGCACTTTCTTCTTTCTCATTTCCTCCAGCTCACAACAGTGTTTGTAGACGTCATGTTGCCCATACATCTGTGTGTGTGTATGTGAGTGTGTACACATACGTACCTGATTTAGGCAGATGTGTTTCTATGTCTCACTTGAGCACCCTGTAATCTCCCTTCCCCATGGATATCCTTGCATTCGCTTCCATTTTCCCTTCCTAAAACTGTGCTTATTTCTTCTGACATATTCTGAAGCAGGAAAACAGCTTCCCTCCCTTGCTGGAATAAATGTGTAAATAAATGCAATCCATTCCACATGCTAATCTATTACTTTTTAAAGCCACTGTCCAGTGGCCAAATTTAGTACAACGTGTCAGCCTTCTACCTTGATGCTTCAGGACATGAAATCTTTTGTGACGTAAGTGCTGAAAGGGCCTGCAGACTTAAGATTGGCATGAAACGTGTAGACAGACACTCCATCCAGGAGCCCCATACTCAGAATCTGCTCTTAGGTAATCCCCAGGCAGGACTGCCCTTTGGTGGAATAAAGAGATCTCTTTGGAAGGAAAAAATCACAGATTTTTGGCTTTGTTTCAGCCCAGTACACTTTCCATTAAATCATAATTTGTTTTCCTCCACAACGCCTTTGCCTAAAAGTAATAGAAACAGCTGGTGAATGGGGACACGCAGAAGCCATCCGTGTTCATTCACAGGTTATCAATTTTTATTTTCTTAATATTTTCTTGCCTTTTTAGGCTTTGCTTTTAGGTGTGGGGTGCTGCTTATCCCAACTTTTAACCCATTTCTCCATGTTTTAGGCAATCAGCAATGCTGCAATAGCCTTTATAACTTCCTTGTAGTAGGTTTTCTGTATTATTATATTTCTTGGCTTCATATCAGATTTTAACCATCAGCATTTCAATCAGAGCTTCTTGATATTACCACTGAAAATGCCTTTCATCAACATAAACAATTGTTTAGAGAACACATCCAGCCTCAAAATAGGGCAGTGCAAATTCTTTCTGATGGCATGTATCTTCTGTATATATTCACCTGAGCTCTCTTACTGTCCTAGTGTATGTCTCAAAGAGAAAAAAAAAGCAGATGTTCAGGTGACTCAAAAGCTTTGCTGGAGATCTGTGCTTTCTGGGTGTTCATCTTTATGGCCCACAAGTGCTGTAGGCTGCCAAATAGCTACCAAAATAATTAGTAAGAAATGGTTTCCAAATGTGCAAAGGATTTTATTATCATCAAGACAGAAAAAAGGGAATATATAAATGCCAGTTTGGAACTGGACTGCCATTCAGTTTTATCTGGGGCTCATCCAGGTCCCAGCTTAATCTTGTTTTCTGCATTTCTTCATGCCTTAAACACTCTCATTGAGTCTGAGGCAGTGTTTTGTCTTGCTGTCATAATTCCCACCTATAAAAGGCACTGTGTAATGCCTGGTTGGTTTGGTAGAGCACTGGTTTCGCTATACAACTTCACTGTTATTATTTGACACTACAGTTAACTCACTACAATTAACTGAGTTGTCCCAAAATAAAGCATGGAAAAAGAAATCCAAGCACTTCAGAGTTGTGATAGGAGAACTGTGCATTTCAAGTAGGCACCCAAACAGTGGGAAATTCCAACCTCAATGGTTGGAATCCTATATTTCCTGGGCTGGGACAAGTCACTGCTCCAGAGATATCAGAAGCATGACGAACCAGGCTGTTTGACTGTGAAATTTGTGAAGGATAGAAATACAAATTACAGGGAAAAAAGGAAAAAAAAAAAGAAAATCAGGAAAGAAAATCTGTCAGAACACTAGGGATTTTTAATGGATTCAGAGCTTCTTTGACCTTTTCATGTTCCAATAAGGAAGGTCTTATTTTAACCAAATCATTTGTCATCTGTTAATGAACTAAACTGAATGTCATTTTTGGAAGAGTCTTGGTAACAACTGAAGTATGAGTGATTGCCAGCAATTCCTATGAAACAAGGGATTGCCTCATCATCAGAAGGGTTGAGTTCTGGCACTGCCATTCTGCTTTAATTAAAAAATTAAACAACGTACATTAAAAATGCAGTTACATGACCCATCAGTGCTTCTCAGGGAGCTAAATGCCTTTGAACCTTGACATTATTCACCTCACATAACACTTGATCCCACAGATACCGGGTTGTTGCCCATGAACAGAAGCCTGCTGCCAAGAATCTAAGGCTTTCTAATAAGAATGAAAATTCTGCTTTAAAATTACAGAATATTTTGACATATAGAATATTTATTAAAGCAGATGTTATAAGATGATGGAAATTAAAGAAGTATTAAAATAATTATTATAAGAAGTAAGCTAAAGGCATATTAACTCTGTTAGTCTCTCAGGAGATGTGGTATTAGCTGCTGCTTCTGGCATGCTCGTGTTTGCTCTTCTTTACGAATGGGGAGGAAACAGCTCATCATGTATTGGGAAGACATTACAAATAGAAATGGGAATGAGAAACAATCTCTTAGTCATACTTGAGAGTTTCCTTGCTCTTAATGTGTTTTTCTGTGGTTTTTCAAAACATAGGTAGTGCTGACAGCTGGGCGACTGCTCTGAGCTCTGCCATTATAGATCTGTATTTATTGCAGCTGGGTGTAATTGACTCAGAGTTGGACAGGAAGCAGTACAAGGCATCAGATGGCTGTCTTCTCCAAGTTACTAAAGAAAAAAAACAATGCAAGCTTGTGATTGTGACTCCTCCTCATTGACTCAATCACCAGCTGTAGGCACTTCTTAAACCTGTTAGGCATCTTTGGGGAGGAATATTTTTTAAGAGCTTAATTTGCTTTCTACTCAGTCAGAACATCCAGTGACAGGTGAACTCCCTGCCTATCTGACATCTTGTTCCAAATCCTGAATCCTGTCTTCTCCTTCACCTCCTTCTTTTTTCCCTTGCTTCTTTCAGTCATGTGCCTTTCTGGGAACCCTTCCCTGGGTTTCATCTCCCATTCAGCTCTGCCAGCCTGCCTTCAGCGTTGGGGATGTAATGTCTCCTTGGATGTTTTAGTACATCACTATGACCAGGCACCTGCGCTCTCTCCTCCTTGCATTCCCCAGGTGAAAATATGAGCACCTGGTTCCATCAGAAGACACATCCATGCTCTTCTAGCATGGATTCAGCATAGAAAACACATCCATGCTCTTCTAGCATGGATTCAGCATACCTAGGCATATCCAGCACCCCTTCTTCCCCTTTTCAAATTACTTTTCTATGGAAATGAATGCTGGAAGTGGACTTACCCTCTCTCATGCAGACTGTTTAGCAGATAGAGAATAGTTAGATCTTCCTGGCAGACAGGGATTTGGGACGTGTGTGTGCATGTTTCTGAGGAACCTATTTCTTCCAATACCTGGGTGCTTATTTAGAGGTCAGGCAGAAGAAGACCCAAAACTAAACTGAGTGAAGTAACTGGTACCTGCTGGCTCCTCAGCAAGTGCCCAGCACTCAGAAACACAACAATGAGGTCCCACTGCCAGGGCACCCTGGCTGACAGTGGCAGATTTTGCTTGCCTGCATGTTCTACAGGAAAGTGGCCAGCAGGATTAGTTCTCTGCATTAAAGCTTACATGTAGACCTTCTTGTTTATTGCACTTGAGTTGAAAGCACTAAGAGGCTGTGGCAATGGGAGCGGTGCACAAAGTGGACAATAATATCTTAGATACAGATTCTGTTACTCTTTCCAGAAGTAATTTTGTTGCCTGTGAATGGGGCCATTGAAAGCAAGAAGAGTAAGAGACTACATGTGAATGATAGAGGCAGAATTGTGTTGAGGACTTGGGCGCTGGGGTCTAAAAGATGTTTTGAGTTATGTAAGTAGCCACCTGTACATTTCCAGTAGCACAGTGCTGTATTTTCTCCCTCCCTCAAACTTTCGATGTACATAGATCAGCTGGCTGGACATTGCCCGTGTGCTGCAGAATAATCTGCAAAGCTGTCCAGAAAGAACGTATTTCTAGTTTTTTAGTTTGTTAGTGTTATGGCAGAATGCTTCCGACATCTCTTGAATACTCATAGCTATGATGAAGAGGTAGATGGAAGCAGCAGGACTGAGGCAAGCTCCACTCCCAGTCCTATGGCCAGGTGTGCACTGGCATAAAGTGGGTGGCAGAATTTGGCCTGGGTTGTGTAAAATCCAAGATGTGTATGTTTCCTGCTTCAGGTAATAATGTGCTAAGTTACTACTTTATGCACAGAGGTATGGAAACCTTTTTTTATGTTTTTCCCTCCCTCCCTCCTCTTTCCATTCTATGATCTAGACACCACTAACTGTATGGAGTTGATGACTGGCAGACTTTCCAAATGTGGTAAGAACTTCCTTCCCTTCTGCCTTTTCTCCTTCCCCAGTCCCTGCTGAGCAACATAATAACGCACCGCCCCGTCCCTTCCACCTCTTCCCCTTCCTTATCCCTGCTCTCCCACGCTCTTTTCAAGATTACCCAACATGTAACAGCCCACAGTGTCCTTCTCTTACTCGTCTGACACAAGCATATACCCCTTATTCTGTTTCTCCCCATCCATGCACAAGATGCACAGACTCCACCACGGCTTTTCCCTTCATAGCACAAGTATGTGGTGTTGCACTTCAGATTCCCTCCCTCACTGTCACCCAGACCAGTGATTTTCTGTTCTTTTTTTTTTTTTTTTTTTTTTTTTTTTTTTTTTTTTTTTTTTTTTTTTTTTTTTTTTTGTTATTATTGATGTTGTTGCTGCCTTTGATTCGTAATTCTTCAGTCCCTTTTCAGCAGTGAAGCTGAATGCTGCCCTGCTAGCTGCTGTTTCCCTTGTTTCCTTCGATTTATTGAGACAGAATTGCTCTGTTATTTAATTCCCTTTTGCATCCACTCCCTTCTTTGCCATGTATGTTTAGGGTAAGACCCTTTTAAATCTTCCATAAAATGCACTGCATATTATCTACCAGACATTTAGTCAGACATTTAACTGTCATAGTTCCTGTCTGGTCTTGGGGAACTGCGTTGTGTTTTTAGCTGGAGGACAGTGAACCTTTTGGAGATTCAGAATTTTGTTAGGAATGAGAAAAAAAAAAGAGAGAAAAAAAAACAAAAAACAAAAAGTGGAGTTTTCTGCAAAACTTGCATCTCAACTTGCTTGGGGTTCCATCAATTTTGGTTAACTTGTCCCTTGCCTTCCTTCTTCCCTATGCACACATGGACTATATTCTTTCCTTCTTCAACTGTGGCCCTACTGGCTCCTCCAAGTACAGTGGTGGAAATACCCAAATGCTATAAGATTGGGTGTTTTTTTTGTTTTTTTTTTCTCTTATATCTTGTATGGAAAGGTTGTGGACAAGAGAAATCTGTTCTCGTAAGACTTCCATTCTGGTAACTGGGTTGAATTCAAACATCTCTGTGAAAGGGAACACAAGCTGTTGAGGAAGTGATTACTGAGCTGGTACTGCTCTCCAGCTGGACCTGTGACTCCTGCGTCATCTCTTTGTAAACTGAGGGAAGTTCTTCTGGAGTCATTCCACAGTCAAGTTGTCACAGGGGAGATAATGTTAGGTTTATGCATGTGTGACTGAGAGCAGAAATTGTTCTGTATTTCAGATAATTTCTTTTCCTTAAAGAGCAGATTTGATGGTATTTTTTTTTCTTTTTTCTCTGAGGAGAGCTCATATGATTTCTTAATTGAGTTTTCTGGTTTACTCTGTTTCTGATCTCTTCAAGAAGACTCATTTAACTTGTAGGCAGATCTCTAGCTTTGTCTTGAAGGTATCAGACAGCAAATTTCTTTTCTTCCTCAAGCCTTTCTTTCTTGCCTGAGTCTGACATCCACATCATATGATAATACTGAAATGCTGATTCTGCTGATTGCTTCCAAGTTAATCAAGCTATGCAGAAAACCAGCCAGTCCTCTGCGCTCTCTAGATAGAGCATTACTGTTCATTCCCAGCTCAGGTCCTTCAGCTGTCACAGTGTCAGCATCCAGCCAGCCAGGGACAAAGACAACAAGGTGATGGCCAGAAGGGAGACTGTTTTGTGGCAGCTACAGCCTGAACAGAACATGTAGGTAGGTCTAGAGAAGAGAAAGGAAGGGTTGTTGAGGTAATGGAGCTGCTTCCTTTGAATCAAATTCCTTTTGGTGTGTTCATAAAAAATGGAAGTAGTGATGACATTCACTGTGCTGAATTCCACCCTCCTAAATATGTGAAGAGCTATTTCATGCACAGGAGAGCTCATCCAACATTTAGTCAGGGGAGCAAAGGGGAATGACGTGGGATTTTGCCTAGTATTGGCAAACTGTCCTCTGTGACTTTGAGGACAGGCATAGTCCTGTGGAGTTGGCACAGTGTTCGTATAGAGACAGCCAATAGAATAAGAAAAACTATGCTGAGCATTTTTGTGATGTTATCATTGTTCCACATTCTGAGAATGAGCATAAAAGGGCATTTTTGCAAGAGTTAACACTGGAGCAGGAAGAGCAAATCAGAGGTTTAATGCCAGGCTTAACTATGTGAAAACTGCGGTGGGAATGAGGAATATCTCTTCAGTCGATATAAACCATTGTAATTAACAGCAAGGCAAATTTATTTAGCCCTTTAAATATTAACTTGTCTTCTGTTAGCAGTCACCATCAGTCTGAGATGTGCTTTTGCATTTAGACATTAGCACTGAAAAGCAGTTCTTGTTGGACACCTGAGGTATGTCATAGGAGCTGCCAGTGTCCAAATGCTGCCGCTGTATCAATTCTATCTGTGCACACTGGTAAACTGCTGCCAACTCTTAATGTTTCACAAGAGAAGAAAATGGTTTGTCTCATGATCAAGTTCAAATGCACGCAGGGATGCAATATTTTATTTTGTTTCCACCTGTTTCAGCAGGGGAAGGAGCATTTCTAGTGTCAGGAAGACTTAATTGATTTTTGTGAAGTCTTTAATATCTGTGTATAAGAATAACTTTGCCTTATAATAGCCCTTTACATTTAAAATGAATCTGTAGCCTGAAAACCGCCTGTGATACCTTCCAGCTTAGCTGATCTTTCCCTTGTGTATTCAGAGCCAAATCAGTTTAGTGACAAATAAGCTTTACTACTTTATGTGCTGCCATTAAGCCTTATAAATTCAACATAGCTGTAAAAAGGTGAGCTAGATTTAGATTCTTTTGAGGCAGGATTGAGAGATCTCTTTACTATCATCTAATCTGGTATTTATGTCTCTCTCATTGAGGAATGGATTGTATGATTAATGCTGAGGTTCTAATAGGTACTCAAACTACTAAGTTATCAAGCTTTGTAGTTTGAGTGTGTTGGATCTGAAGCCATTGATATACCACAGAGAAGCCCACAGTGCCATTTCACTAGTCCTCGTTCAAAAAGGAGTCTGTCTTTATGAGCTTGGATGACTTTAAGGCCTTTAATAAGTAAGCTGAGAGTTTATTTGGGTGGTTGAATCAGTAGTAAGGCTGTTTCATAGCCTTTGATAACTCCTTTTCCCAACCATCTCTAATTTTTTAGAGTCCTTAGGAAGCATGTTTCACCAAGGTGCTGGCTACTGGCAGAAAGCTCAGAAAAGCCTGTCTCATTCTTCACATTACCTTCTGAGAAACACTCACCGGAGAGCTTGTAAACTCCCCATTCTGTATACTCTAGCTGTCTGGGGCTGAATTTTATTTCCAAGTAAAGCAGTTTTCTCTTGTTGCTTTCATCCCCCATGAATCTCAGGAAGTTTTCAGTTACGTCACTAGCACTTCAAGAAAATGGGAGGTTTTTACTGTGTAATTAGCACAGCACCAGTCAAATCTTGCTGCTGTGCTTGGCATTGCACAAGCTTACTTTCTTGCAAAATCTCAGACCATAACTCTGTGACAAAAGAATAGTCAGAAGACTATTTGAAAAATAAAAATATTTATTTTTATACATCCCATGTTGCCGCTTACAGTTTGAAAACTGAATTCCTGGCAGCAGTTAAGCAAGAAGCTTTATGGATCCTCGTGTGAACCAGTGACTGTCACCAAAATGATCTGATCAAAGTGGAAGCACAGCAGATCTGCTTGCCTTTCATATCTTTCCAGTGAATTTCACTGAAATCTCTTGCTTCTAATGTCTAGAATATATTTAGATTGTTTACACAGCTTCTTATTCTGAGACACTTTACATTGCCCACCATCACCAATCGTCCTCTCTGCACGCAGAGCAATTGCAGTAAAGGCTTCTCTTCATACCTCCTTGCAAATGCAGTTTCATTCATACAGATGCAAGCCCATCTCAATAGCATCCCAAGCAACTTGAGGAATTAGGAGAGGTGTTGTAGTTTAAAATTGATTACATCATATTGGGATTGCAGCATGTAACTTAGTGGTAGCTTAGAGACTATTGGTGTTACAGCAGCAAAAAACTGGTTTTGAAGCTCTCAGAAGTGATCCATATTGGTGTTATTTGAAGTAACTATTTCATTTAGAGTAACCATTTGAGCTTTAATGGAAGAGAAAGTTGGTGATTTGCATTCATGAAGTCATAACTGATGGTAGAAACACTAAGACTTGCAGAAAAAAAGAAAAAAGGCATATGCTTTCCTCCCAGCTGAAGGATTCTCTTCACTGTTGCTGCACAGTGAGGTTGTCAGAACAATGTTCTCTTTATTATCATTTCTGATAAATGAGCTCACTGATCATCTTTCTGAGTATAACTGATTCTTGATGGACATGGATATAAATTGGGACCCAAATGAGAGATCTAAGGAGGAAGCCCACCTGAAAGATCACATATTCTATCATAATGTGTGAATCATGATAACTTAGATAAGTCAGATTTTCCAAATAGTTCAAGCCACATTTCCCAGTTATTTGCTGTCCAAACGAATATGAATAGCACACGGTAGTTGTATCCCTCTTCTTTCTAGTGCTGCTTTCAGGAGGAACTTATTTTCCAATTCATAACTCATATGTTTGCCCTGTTGAAGAAGGTAGCAATAAAAATGGCAACTTGGCACTAAAGATGACTCCAGATGTATTGTTGTGTATCAGATTCTATTTTGATAGCTATGGCCAGACTTTTACTGCCTGATACAAAACCTTCTCCTCTTTTCTTTGTTAATATCTATTACAGAAAACACACTTCTCTCTTAATTAATATAACAGTACTTTACTTATGGCAAGCAGTACTTCAGGATATTCCACGTGAATATTTGCTTGCTGTGCTGAGTTGAATCATCTGAGATGGCCTCTCCTGAAAGTTGAATCATATTTTGGAGGGATTGTTTGATTCAAAGGAAATGGGGAATTAACTTTTCTCCAGCATACAGAGTTTATTTCTTAGGAACAGGTATGAGAACTTAAAGCCCATAAGATCA